TGTTATGAATTGATAAAAGAAGGAATAGAGATTGATATTCCTGTGTCTTCCTAAAAGGAGCTTCATTTAAGGTGCAAGATGAAGGTCTCTGTCTGTTTGGATTCAACATAGAACTTGGCACCGAAGTGCAGCAGTTCGAGTTGCCACGTTCCAAATAGCACACAGAGGTAGACAAGAAGATGGGTGAAGAGAATCAATAGAGTTTGACAAGTATAAGAGTGAAACAGAATGGGTAATGGTAGAAAGAAATATGAAAGATTACAGAGACTGAATACATCTGCGCTGGTCATTGACAACGATTTTGAGCCATGTCACCTATTGTCTCCAGTCATTGATTCCTAGAGTCCCGAGGGCCCCAACCCGGAAGTCTGCACCTCCCTACCTGACTCAGTTTAACTGTCAAGGATTTCATGGATTGATGAGGCCATGTTTTTGTTTGGCCACCACTTACTCCCTCCCAACCTGCACCTATATCAGCTAGTAATGCCCGTCGGTGGAGGCGATGGTTAGGCATGCGCAGCACGTGACCTAGCCATCTCAATCTATGTAACTTTATAGCCTCGTCGATTGATTTTGCCTCTTGGCCCAACACTCTACGCCTAACGTCGACATTACTTACCTTATTAAACCACCTAACGTGAGAAAGAGATCGCAGACATCTATGGTCGAAAGCAGTCAACCTTTTCATGTCTTCAACGCGTATTGGCCATGTTTCAGAGCCATAGAGAAGGACGGAGGGAACTGCTGAGCACTACACACGTCCCTTGGTTGATAGCCGAATGTCACGCCTACGCCAGAGATGGTGTAAGTCAGCGAAAGCAGCTCGAGCTTTTCGGATCCTTGCTGAGATTTCGTTGCTAATCAGTCCGTTGGTGCTGATACAACTTCCCAAATAGGTGAAGTGGTCAACATGTTCTATCACTTCACTCCCTATCACTAAGTTAGGAGTTGACGTGGTCCAGTCCTGTAGCAGCATCTTACATTTTACAGGGGCGAATCGCATGCCAAACATATGAAGATTGTTGCTCAAGGTGTTCAGAAGACTGCATTTTGTCAGCATCCTCCCTTAACAGGACTATGTCATCTGCATATTCTCAGTCCATAAGTCTATTGCTGAGTCGTTACTTTAAGTTAAGGATACTTCCATTAGCATATCTATGATGAAGTTAAACAGAAATGGGGAAAGTGGACATCCCTGTCGGACACCACTGGTTGTTATCAATTCAGATGACAATTCCCCATAAGCCCTTACACGGCTACATGAGTTTGAATAGAGTGCCTTGATTAGTGCAATGTACTTTCTAAGCACTCCCTTCACAGTCAGACATTGCCATAATACCTTTCGATCCACGGAGTCGAAGGCCGCCTTCAAGTCAAGAAATATGGCAATTGTTGGACGCTGAAAAGTGTGTCTATGTTCTAGAATCTGTCGAAGAGTGACGTACATTTTCCTTTCAATAAAAAGAGGCGATCAGATGGTGTTTTATGGGATCACCACTAGGTCCAGTCCAAGCAGATTTTCTCCTAGCCAAACTACGGAATATCCCTTTGAAAGATGTGATAAATGATCTGGATTTCTGTTGTCGTTATGTGGATGATACGTTTATGATTCTGAGAAGCAAAAGTGAGGCGAAGTGAATACTGAGGAAACTCTAACAAAGCTTATCCAGCTGCAATGTTTACGAAAAAAGAAAAAGAACAGAATGGCTTTGTGTCATTTTCGTATTTCCTAATGAAAAAACTACTAGATGACCCAATAAGTAGAAGCATATTCCGCAAACCCACATCAACTGCGTAACATACTCACATTCTGAGTTTCGTCCCTCTACATTACAAACGAAATCTGGTTAGATGTTTAGTTCACCGTGCAACAGTTATTTGTTAAGAAGAAATACTCAATGAGGAATTCGATAATATTTGTGATCCAGTAGGTAGAAAAAGACATCCGAAGAAATTTTCGAACAGACATATAGATTTAACGACCACTAAGTCCAAGGTATCTACAGTTTCGAGAAAATCGGTGGTCTTAAGACTGCAGTTCACAGGAGATGATAACACTGAAATCGCATAACAACACCTTACTAGAACCTTGGAAAAGACTTTCAACGCAGTTACGCTATGCTGCTTGTTCACCAGCCAACTAACTCTTAGTTCGCGAAACAAAGGCAAACTGACTAATTTCATCTCTTCCACGTGTACTTACCAGTTCAACTGCTCCTGTCGAGCTAGTTACAGTAGGCGTAGAATCGGAAAAGCGCATCACTGAGCTCTTGAACACCGATCATCTTAGTTAGGTAAAGGAACGAATGAAGCAGTACGTAGGTCCATACTAGCACACATTTTCGATATAGAGCATCAAGTCGGCGCCTACAGTATTTGGAGTTTACCACCGTATGCCGCCCGACCGTTCTCATGCTCTACGAGCCCGACTCCTGCACACAGCAGAGGCGGTCGCAATTTGTCTGAATAAGGCAAGTCTGTGTTCACAAGAAATTCGTACAGCTCTTTTCTTGCCGTTTTATAAGTGATTTTCTCCTTAACCTTGTAACTATCAACTGGTTTTTTTATTTCACTGAGTAATATATTTTGAAATTTCAGTAGTGGCGATTACTGTTTGATCTGATTCAACTAACCTGTTCGTACCTTGGTGATCTTATATAATTCACTCACCTGTTCTTCTTAATCATCATTGTTTTGCAAATCATTGATTACTTAGTGACCTGCTTCTGACCCTTACCAGTGAACTTGTCTTGGATTCCGTAATCATTCTCACCCCTCCCACACCCCAAAATTTATATTTCCTATCGACTAACAACGTGTTGCTAAAGTCGACAAAATAACTGTCCTGATTTCAACAACTGATAATTCTTACTGACTAACATATCAGCACACGACTGGTACAATTTTGATGGAGAGACTTTGGTGGGGCGCTATTTGTAAAGGATTATATATTTTTTTATTTTCACTTTTGATTCCAGCTGGATTCCACGCTGTATTTTTGGTACAAGTATGGGATTTTCAGCATGGATATCGGTAGCCCAAATTTTGCAGGCTGACCATAGGTATCAGGTGTCTGTCGGTAGGGGATCGAACCTCGGACCCTGTGCATGGTCGGCAAGTGTCCTAACCACTGTGCCACCGAGTATATTTCTTCGCTCAATTCATTGGTACGTCTAAACAGAAACGAGAATTTTCGAATTAGTTGTCTGTCAAAATACCGTTTTCAAAATGAAATTTTTACATTTTATTGACGCTGGTTTCAATACCTGTTCATCCTGACCACTTTCATCGATAAGCGAGTGCTTATTCTCACTGTCTGGTTGTCCGTAATTTGACTATACATGCAGAAAACCCTCTACCTTTTGGAATCTGTGAACTATTAGGCTCCTATAGGTTTTTAATCAAGACAGTTGCCTGGTGTTATGACAGAATTAGGTGTTATCTATGTAGTATTGGTACTGGTGGATAATGCCATACGTAAACTCTAGTAATCATTAGTCGGCGAATATCTTATTTTTCTCATACGGAAGCCAACTACATCCTCTGTTGAATATGAGTTATTTGACTCATGGTTTTAGTTGAGGCGCATACTACTTGCTGAGATTTGGGCGGGGAATTTCTCTTACATACGATGAGTCTGGCTTACTGAAAAAATATTAGTTTAAATGGCTGTCAAGTGATATCTATCAAATTTATTTCTACGTGCTTTGGAATTAGTTCCCTCGTTTCATGAACATTATCACGTTACTGAAGTTATGACTGCGAAATGATAAACATAAGCTACTAACTATTTGTTTACCAATCATAGACATTTCAGGGAACAATTTAGAGATTTTAGCGAAAGTGTGAAGCGCTAAATTAATTATCTTAACCTCAAATAATGGAAAGTGGAAAAAACCATACGAATGTACTTAACAAGACGTTTATATATGAACCGAAGTGCATAGACGTATTGTAGTAGCTTTGAATGTATAGCAATCCCATAGTGTTCAAAAACTTTACAAAAGCATCTACTCACAAGTGTTACGCAGCTCAGTAACGACTTAAAGGTTACTCCCCTAAATTATTCTACCCGTTAAGATAATGAACTTAGTTTAAATTCTACTATTTAAACTACTGAACAACAGTTCCGAAATGAAAGGTAAAAGAAGACAAACAAATTTACAGTAGGGTTCAAATAAATTAACGAAATAACTACTATTTATGTGACAGAAAAATTATCTTTTTAAACAAAAAGAAACGATCATGCATCATTTAAGAAAACATAATCTGGGCATGATACGAACTCATTGAAAGGAAGTTATTGTCAATATAAAATTAGAATACTGGGAAAAAACTAATGATATATAGTGAAAAAATTTCAAATAATAAGGAAAAACAATGGGTTAAGCAATAAATAGCAAAACAAATTGGAGAAGTGACTTTTGGTATTAAAAACATTTTGCTAAAATCAGTGAATTCAGACAACATGCAAACGTATAAAAAATTGAAAAGCAATGGCAGCGACGAGAATAAACAACAATGCGAACTAATAGATTAAGCAAATAAACACGAGAGTATTCACATACCAAATTTTCATGAGAGGAAGATAACGAGAGATTGTCTCTTATGCTTGAAACCAAGCTAAATGAGGTCTCTTTAAAACGAACGACTGAATACAGTTTAAAGCAGTGAGAATGTATGTAATCAAGAGAGAGAAAAAAACATTGTGAAAGACAAATCAGGTGAGTGGTGCCTAAACAGGCAAACATACTCTCCTCAACCCACAGAATATTAACAGCACATTACATTATATATTACTTGGAAACAGCATTGTAAACTTCATTAATTCAAAATTTTTAGAATAAACGCAGTATACACAAAAGGATAGTTTTTTACTGACAACCATCAAAATTATACAGCTGTTGTTGTCGTCGTCACCGTTACTGTAATTGCTATATGTTGGCGACGTTGTTGGCAATTAATAATGACACATTCAAAAAATTCACTATGAAAACGTGTCAAACATCGACTACCATTTTTTTGTGTACATCTAATCCACTGACAACTTCACAGAACTCTTCAAACGATATTCGACCATCTCCATCCTTATCTGCAAACATAATTGTCTTGTCCACTATTTGCTGTAATTGTGTATCTTTTAAATTATTTCCAACCATCATTTTTAACACCTAAAAAGTATAGTGAATAACAAGTGCATTAATAAGACAAGGTGATAAGATGATCAACAACAGGAAGTCAAAACAGCTTTTTTATACATAAACAACCTACTGAGTGACTCAACTTCACAGTATTTCACTACAGTATAGTGTTGACTTTATTTTTATGCATTTGTTACTGTAAAGTTTGAAGAGGAAGTTGGTGGAAACAGTTATTCGCTCAAAATATCCTTGTTTTGAATAATCTTTATCTATGCATTCTTGAAGTAGTGAAACCTTAAGATCATCGAGTTGCACAGAAAGTGCCCAAAGAGTAAGTTCACCAAAGCGAAAAACCCTGTTGTTATGAAATCGACAACCTCTTTTCCTTTATCAATATCTTTTGTGCTCGTCTTGTTTAACTTCAGCATAGGGTTTCATACATTATTGTGTTTCTTGTCGTATTCACATTTTCCTTTCTATTCAAATATAATTCATAGTTAAATAAAAACAATTTACTCCCAGATATACAAAGACATAAATACATCCGTTTTAACAAAAAAATCCCTGTATTTCGTGAATTTACGTGGAATGTGGAATTTATGCACAAATTACAATACAGTAATTATTGCTCAACCTTAAAAATTCTACAAACTACTGAAAACACTATGCTGACAGTAAAGTAATCCTGCTATTTGTGATTAGGTAGGGACAAAAACATGACTGGTAATTCTGTGAACCAACATCAATTGAGACGGTCAAGACACATGTATGTTAAACCACTGCTTTTCCGGAAGAGCAATGCCAGCTGATATGGGAGTTGGTTGAAAAAGAGTTAGGGGTGATCAAGTCAAAATATGAAATTCATAAAGTCTAAATCCCATTGGCTGCATACTGTTTAGCTAGGTTGATCGAAGCGCTGAGAATGTTGGTGATATGGCTCGGAACCATTCTCAGTAGCGCAGATGTATTCATTCTTTAGGATCTCTCAGGTTCTTTAAACCCATCGTTCTTTTTTCCTCACATTTTCGCCAACTATAATTTCATTTGTTGTAATTGGAACCGATCCACCTTCGTACAAAGAAGATTCCATTGAGTTCAGAAGTAAGTCTCATAGTGACTACTTTTGTTGATCTTGTCTTTATAGGTGTATAGCGGTTTGAAGTTGTTTAGACGTGAAGTCATCTAGAAAAGTCATTATTAAAGCAGGAGAAATAAAATAAATGAGCAAAGATGCTAAATCTTAATAGCTATATGCTCACCAATATAAAATGAAAAAGACAACAATAACTATACTAGGAATTAAGAAACTGCTGATGTTGGGTATCTATAAGCATATTAGTGTTTAGAAACCTATTAAGGAATGAAGAACTTCACAAAATGACCTGATTTCTAAGATGCTATTTGCTGTTGACTAACTGCACTCTTACAAAACTCATCAGTTAATCACATACTTTCATGATTAGTACACAAATTTTTTTATCTTTTCTTACAATCATCGACTGACGATTATAGTTAGTGAAAGGGAAGATATTTCGTACCACGAAAAAATAGAATGTCTTGAGATAAGTAGCTGCTGACGACAGATCACTGAATATTGTTCAAACAACATAAAAAGTCTCTTGGTCATGTTTCTAAGCATGCACTGTGATTTAAGCCTTTTACAACGCTAACAATCCAAGTGAATTTTTACTGAACGTTTTACACATCATTGCCACAAAGCACTGGAAATTAATTAATAAAAGGATATCTAATGTGACCTTTTAAAACTACTGCACTTACCAGATTAGCCGAGTATTTAAGACTTCTTCACCCTTACCCTTCTTAATAAACACTAATTACTAAGTGAGCATACAAATATGACCGCGCAGTCTTCAAAGATAGTCTCGTCGATATGGAAAATTTCAGACTCTAACAAAATAAGTGTTATCATGTTACTCTGAATATATCTCATATCTCTGCTACAACCGTACTTTCCACATAATTAAAGGAGAACTTTGTAGCTATATACTGTATATAGTCATTCACGGTCAGTCAACTACAAATAGAGTAATGAGTTACCGAAGGTGCTTCCACTTCTAACTGCTCATCCCTAAATATTTCCTATTTTATACATGGTGTAAGAGCTAGAAGTGGTCACACCAGAACTTAGGATCAGCCCATGAAATCTTTGAAATCTAGTCCGAGCCATACAGGGAAGTGTAGACTTGGTTTTTCGGGACCCCAAGAACCAATGGCTGGAGACATTTGGCCATATGGCTCAGAATCATTCTCAATAGAGAGATGAATTCACTCTTTGTGATCTGCATGTCTATTAAATCCTACAGTTTTGCCATGTTACTATTCTATATCAATCATGTTTATGCTTATCGTCGTTTTTTGAGTTTGTCTTTATGTAGCACATGGAGTGTGGCAGCTCGAACTGCTGCACTTCTGTGCAAAGTTCTAAGTTTAAATTAGCCAGTCATTTCGTGTAAGTTGTAACCAAACCAAATCTTAAAAAAACTTCACATGATAAACAGATGATATTTAACTTAACTACTACCACATAGTACCGCTAACTCCAAATTATGTTACTGATGTAAACGTATTACAGATATCTCAATTCATTGTGCCCTTCAGACAGACGTTTCAAATCCAAACACTAAGTCATATCACATGGTAACTGTCCTCTGGGGTGTCAAACTTGACAAATGTATCTCAACAATGTTGAACTTACTTCACTCACGCAAAGATTCACACTAGATGACGTTAGTTAGTACAGTAGGATGAATACTATGGGTTATTTCGGTTTTGAAAACATACTTGAGAAATTCTAATGTCTATTTATGATTGTGTGTACTGCACAACAGTCGACCTCATCCACATGCGCAGCAGTAATACACGTTGGCCAGTGATGAAAGATACAAAATGACTAAGCGATTTTGATGACTGTTGCCTCTGTGATATTGCTTTTTCGACAGAATCACTGTATAAACAAGGTCAGCGTTACACGTACACTACTACCTAAAGGTAAAGAAAAGTCAACAAAGTTATGAACTCTCTCAACAGCAGACATGTTTGTGATGCTACACATACTAAACCACTGCGTACTACGAATGAAATAATCAATTACCCATTCACTAGACACTACTACACACTGTCTGTTATAGGTCTAAGGGTGTTTTTTAGACTATCCAGTTTTCACAGGATAGTATAGTATGTGGTATGGATCCGAACCCATTGTTTAACAGTAGTTAGAACAAAATTTTTTTAAATTATTTGTAATAGCACACGATGGTACAGTATTATTACTAGCAGCGTCACCATTTAAGGGTAATATAATCAAGTAAATGGTGCATCAGTGGCACAGTTGTCGAATTCTCGCTAACCACACATGTGGTTCGGGTTTTGATCCCCGGCCGACGCACTCTTTTACCTCGCTAAAGCAGTAATAAGACTGGTACAGAGGGAAGGTTGGGCACGAGACTAGCAACCACTACCACTGACACTTCAAAGCTCTAGCTTGAAGCCCAATGTTCTACTGGGAACGTAAGGGGATAAAATAATGATAAAAATAATTAGGTGAATGGAGAGGTTACAAAAGGTTCGTTCGGTATTCGCGAAACTAAGCTATCTTTGATGCAATTGTGACATCCGGGTACCCATCATGAAACACCTGTGCCGTGCAGTAGTTATATGCGTTCTACCTTAGACATTCCTCATGGAAATGGAAGACATGGAAACATTGTTATTTTATCACAGTCACTTATGTTCAATCCCTAGTGTTGGGCGGAGATATGTGGCCAATAAAGTGAGATGAAACGTTTAGTGACAAATAAGGAGGGGAAGTCAGTCGATTAGACTATGAAGCTCCACCGACTGAGATAAGTACGATTATTGCTAAGTAACTACTTTTGTCGACCATCTGGCTTAGTTGAAATAGGATTATGTTGGAAAATTTAGGTGTGATCAGACTAAAATAAGATATCGGATCATGAAGTCAATGACTGTTGTCGTTAGTCAGGCAGGTAGGTGGGTTGCCAGTCTAGAGATGTTAAGAATCGACTGTTGCACTGTTAGAAATATGAATCAAAATCATTTACAACGCTGCAAATATGTTCACCCCTTGTAATCATAGATTTTGGAGAGTGACTAATCTTCATTTACTTATTTTCTTTCAGATACGCTGTAGTTTCACTACTTCTGTCCTCTACTCTTAAGTATGCTTGTTTGAAGGATGGAAACTTGAACTGCTGCACTTCTAAGATCTATGTGATATTAAGTCAACCAGTTAAAGGTTGATTAATAAAAGTTGGTTCATCACAATTTCTTATACGTATATCTTATACGTGTGAGGACAAATACTCGCTGGAGACATTGGTTATTGGTTGAGCTGTTTTAAATTGGCAGAAGTTGGATTCATGGGCCACTGGATTGGGTCCCAGTGGCTTAATGGTTTACGAGCTCGCCTTGTCTGCCTGTTTTCGACATAGGACTTTGTGCCGATGTGCAGCAGTTCAAGTCGCCACACTCCATGTAGCACACAAAGCAAGAGAACAAAGTAGAAGAAATGCATAATAGAGACATTAAACAGAGATGTGAGACAAAAGAATAGTAGTAACGAAGAACAATGTATCTTCATTCGGTATTATAAGTCACAAAGAGTGGATGAATCTGCGCCAGCTATTGAGAACGATTTTGAGCTATATCACCAATTGTTTCCAACCATTGGTTTTTACCATCCTGAGGACCCCAACCAGGAAGTCTACACCTTCCTACGTGGCTGGCTTAAACCAACTGTTGTGGGTTTCATTGACTGGTGGCCATGTTTTGGTTTGACCGCCGCTAGCTCTTTTCCAGTCTGACCCTATATCAGCTGACATTGTCGGTCAGCGGAGGAAGGCGATGACTAGGAATACGTAACATGTCCTAACCATCTCTCACAGTAATGTAATTTCACAGCCTCGTCGATTGATTTCCCCTCCCTCCTTACTTACTTACTTTTTACTTTACTTCGGCTATCTCCTACGGGAGGATGAGCCGGCTTCATGAACGTCTCGAATCATCGCTGCCCAGGCGCGGCAATTTGTAAGAGAGTTCATGAAGTTTCATGGGAATTTGGTACGAGTGATGTCCCCAGCATCGCTCCCTCCTTACCTAGCACTCGACCAAAGTCTAACCTCAATATTGCTCACCTTATTATACCACTTACACGAGAGATAGAGAGCAGGCACCTATGATCAAAGACAGCTAATCTTTTCATGTCTTCCACTCTCAATGGCCAGGTCTCACAGCCATAAAGGAGGACGGAGCGGACTGATGAGCAGTACACCTGCCCTTTGGTCAATAGTCGGATATCACATCTATGCCAGAGACGGCGTAAACTGGCATATGCGAAACTAGCCCTCTGTATCCGTGCTTAGATTTCGTCAGAGATCAACCTGTTGGTACTTCCCAAATAAGTGAAGCGGTCAACGTGCTCTACCACTTCACTTCTTATTTCTAATCTAGGAGTCGGTGTAGTCCAGTCCTGCAACATCATCTTGCAATTGGTGGGAGCTCGCCTTGTAACCAGAAGGTCCTGGGTTTAAACCCTGGCAGTGGGTGCGTACTGTGAAGAGTCCCAAACTAGGACGAAACGGCTGTCCAGTACTCCCAGGTTTTTAATGGTTCTCTAACGGATTTCAGCTCATGATTAAATCTCGTAACTAGTCAATTAAATCCCTACAAACAAGTACCTGAGTACAACAGAATTAGTGGAACGCAAAAACGGGAAATACGAATAGTACTAACTATAAATGATAGAACTATATAAGCAAAGAAAGTTATGTGAGTACCTTGATATTATTTTCAGCAATAAATCATGCTCGAAACGTCATCAGTAAATATTAATGTTTAATACTGTGAGGCTATCAAAAGAAAGTTTTACCCACGATGGGAGGTTCACTACGATTGTGTAAATCGAATTTTTCTAAACTTGTTGAGTCACAGTCCATCAGTTTTAATTTCGTAGTAACTGTTTGTGATTTTGTATCAGTTATCCTTTAACTACTGTGGTCATATGTGATAGCCTGAAGGCAGAGTGTAACAATGAAAGACGAAGATGATAATGTGAAGAGTTATTTCTGGTTAGCTACTTCTACACAAGCACATGCTCTGTGCAGTTATAAGTTGTCGCGAAATAAAGGCAGTAGGTTAAGAATTATATTTCTTACATGGGACTCAGTTAATGCGAACTACATTTAGACATACGGTTGATTAGTCCTCTCGGTTTATTAAATCTGAAAGTCAGCTACACATAACAATCTTAGAATATAACAAATCTTAGAAACACACGTAGTCAAACATGTAGTCAATAGAAAATGTTTTCTGTCGTTGAAGACTCACATCAGCATCACGATATAATGTATGACGCCTACATCTTGGTCAATTTATAAAAATGCGTTTTTCTGTATATACTAATTCGAACAAATCAATCACTTTATAAGCATCCCCAAATGTTTTTACAGCAGACAGGATACAACTAAATTACTTTATGGCATTTTTCGTTAACTTTGAAGGGAGATGCAACATTTATATCAGAAAACTTATCTCACCAAATTTACACACTTTTAGGAATCTATAGGGGCTAGCACGCAGAATATCTCCAAGTAGAAAACCGATAAAGAGAGTGTTATTCTGCCATATCATAGCCAATCTCGCGTGTCATAAATAGTAGAAGCACAGTAGCACATGGAGTATAAAAGATTATTTCATTTTAGACAATCTCAGAATGCGAAAAGCGAGAACTAGCATCACAATATGAAAGCCAACAGTCACAGGACCATATACTAGGCTGTAGATCGACAGACAACAGCTGTAACTCATGGAGATTTTCAAAAAGGATCTTAATCTCTCCTCTTCACTTCAGACATGCGTTAATGATGCTTTCCAGACTCAACATTTTATCACCATTCTATTACACGAGTTACGTAGACGAATATCCTCAACAGAACACAAGCATATGAACTATTGTCATGGGAAGATTAGTTTCAGAGCCACATATTATATAATGAATCTACTCGTAGCAAGACTGGAGAAAGCTAAAGCGAGACGGTAAATAGCCCTTGGACGTGTTCCGTTATTTTAGCAATATCTCACACACTGTGGGGCCAACATGAAGACGTGAATTAACGGCAAACTTTACAGAAGAAAGTTACAGGGAATATCATTTTTCCTTAAGAAAACACCCACACCAAAAAGGTTTCCACGCCAATATAAGGACTCAGTTAATTAGCATTTTAATTCTGTCGCTTGAGAGTACTGCGGTTTAGAGAAATACTTACAATAATACTATACAGTTTCACTAGGAGTTGATCCAGAGAGGTTACGACAAGTGATATGGATCGGATAGCTCCAGGCATTAAATAACTAATTCGCTTACTCGTAGTGTCACAGAAGTTCTTATACCCAGTAATCCAGAAATACCGTAGTTGAAAAGTTACGAACGATATGTCCGTTTCAGTCAGTTTTAAGTACTTCAATACATTTCAGACATTTTGTCATGCTTTCATACAGCTTTACGTCACACCACGAACAAGTTAAATGATTTTTCACATTCTTTTAACTGCTGTATGATTAGTTACCTATTAGATTTATAACAGGTCGTTACATAAACTTAATACGGAATTAAGGTCCTCCGATTAGGTAACAAGTGACCAAAACTTGTTGCTAGGAGACATTTGCTGCAATGAAATAGTTACAAGCTGACTTATCAATCTAACTCAACTATTGGTAAATAAGGGGACGTAATTTACCAAGATAACTACCACAATGAGGAGATATCGCGTATATTGTCAAAATTAACATCAAAGTTTCTTAGTCCCACAACAAAACAGCTTGACTTTTACCTGCCTAAATGGTATATCATGTACCTCTTCCACTTTAGAGCAATCATGGACTGGTAAAAACACCCCACATGTATGTAGTAATAACACCCAAGCTTACCATTATGCTGAGTTAAATCTCACTAACTCTGAAATAATTCTAACATTCTATAGTGAGTAAATTCTGAATCTCTTCTGAAATGGATTCTTTAATGAGACTAGAACTCAATGCCGGTTTTCAGCATCACTGGCGATAATTTAGCACTGTTTTTTTCTGGGCATTTTCAGGAGTACATCAGAACCTACTGGGTTCGCTTATCAGCGTATTTCCAGACCTCACATGACATATTAAGCAGTGACTAGCGTTACTTCAGAACTTAGACAAAATTCAGCACCCAGCTCTCTTTATAAGTACGACCAGCGTTGCGTCAGAACATAGGGAATAGATAAAATCTTCAATTACCATAAAAAGGCACTACCGAAGAATAGATTAGAATAGATTCAGAATTGTTGACAGAACAACTACACTGTTAGATAACTGCCAGCATAGAGAAAATGCTGGGCTATTTTGACTAACGAAACTATGCACTACTCAGACTGTTTAGTACGAATACTTTGTAAAGAAACACAGACTTTATGAGTCATTAGGACATGTATAACGCATGATGGATGTCACACTTACTTGGAACAATTCGCCATTGCTTATGTATCCGTCCTTATCCATGTCATATATCTTGAAAGCGAATCTTAGTTTAGCTTCCTTCTCTCCTTTAACGCTGAACTGGGACATCCCATCGATAAACTCCTTGAAGTCAACTTCTCCATTGCCATCCGTATCGAAAATTTCAATAACTCTCGCCACTAGAGGGTTCTGTTGCAATTCCGGTAAACTCATGAATTCCTTCACACTCAGTGACCCAGAACCATCTAAGTCCAACTTTTTAAACCTCTTAGCCAGACGCTTTATTTCCTCCACATCAAATGTAGAACAGAGATCAGGAAGGGAAGCTTCATTTCCCATTTTTCCGCGAAATTCAATTGCCCTCCCCTAAAAATTCATGGACATCAATTAGTTCAAAGATTAGATAATTTAAACTCATTCAGTAGTGAAAACTAAATAAGCCTTTCTCATATCTACAAATTTCTTACAACATGTTGTTATTTCTTAAAAATGCAGTTCTTCACTTGTTGTTCACACTCTACCACGCGAACTTTGAAAAGGGAGTGAATTTTACACGCTCTTGTTTTAGCGGCCGGATTGCAAGGGTCTTCCAACACAGGAGAAGACCGACTATTGCTCAGACAACGACGACGTGTCTAGCGTCATCGAAAAAACCGCACATGTTCCCGATGCTTCTCTGTCAATGACTGAGTGCCCTTCAGCACACAGGAGCACCCACCATATTCCAAGCATCCAGGCTGCCCCCACGATACTGGATAAGCCCTCCACTAACAGTAGCTAAAAGACTGCCACGGAGAAGAGGCGTACCAAGGGTCTAAACCCTGCAGCCCAAGTCACCCAGGGACTGATGGATCAAGCCTCATTCATGCCTGTGAATAGCAGGCAGATAAATCCTACTACAACTAGCGAGGAGGACGCCAATGAATGGCGTAATGTAATCTCTAGCAAAAAGCGAGATAAGGATAGCACATCGGCTACACTGCCCAAGAAGGACAGAAAGACGCTTATGCCGCAGAGCAAGAAAGCCACGGCAGGCAAACCTGATCTCTCTGACAAGTCGCTCATTCTCCACAAAGGGGAAGGGTCACTGGCCTCCAATCCCAAGACCGGGTTTGAGCATGAACTTAACCTGGTTAAGCCTCTTTTAGGCAAGCTACTGCCACAAACAGTATCAGGCATTAATATACGCAACGTATAAAGAGTCGGCCAAAAGCCTCATCCTACAATAAGTCAGCCTGTACGTCTCCTGAAAGTTGTACTAAACTCTAAATAGGAGAGGGATGCTATTCTAAACAACTCTCAAACTCTTAAAGGATGGGGCATATATGTCCGCGTTGACTTAAGCCTAGCAAACCGTGTCAAAAGACAGTCTGCGGCCCTAGAATTAACCGAACGACGCCGAAACGGCGAAAAGAACCTTAAGATTAAGGGTTCTCGGGTTGTCCGAGTTCGCAGTTTGATAATCCCGAAACCTCTGAGGGTAGGCCGAGGGAGCATCAAACTGAATTGAAAGTTTGCTACACAAACGCCTGCAGCCTGTTGAATAAACGGACTGAGCTGGTTTACATGGCAGACTCCGGCAACCCAGATGTAATTATCATCACAGAGACATGGCTCACACCCGATGTCACTAACGACGAAGTTAACCTGCCAAACTTCGAAGTGCATAGGGTGGACCGACTAAACCGCAAGGGAGGTGGCATAATTATCTACCTCAAGAAAAGCTTAACCGCACGTAGCATTATCATCATTAAATATGCTTACTAATCGTATATGTAATTTATCAAATTGGTGATGCCTGTAAGCTGGCGTGCCTCATGTACAAAATGAGAATATATTATTATTGTCGAAGCCGATGCACTCCTGTACCTCGTTAAGCCAGAAATAATGCTGGTAAAGAGGAAAGGTTGGGCATGAGGCGAGCAGCCCACTCTGTGAAAATTAAAACACTGCTACAGAAACTTCAAGGCACTAGCTTTAGGCCCTATGTTCCACTGGGAACGTGAAGGAGAAAAATTATCGAAGAACTCGCTCATGAAAGTGAGTCGTGCCAACTTCTATGCTGCAGACTGAAATGCATAAGCCAAGAAATTGGCCTCGTTGCTATATACCGCAGTCCTGGCTGCAGTGCAGATGACTTCCTAACACAGAAGCTAGGCTCCTGCACTTCGAAATGTCGAAGTCTCGTAGTCGGTGACTTCAACGCCCCAACAGTTGACTGGACGAGCATTACAACGCTATCTTCAGCCAACTCCTTTGATCATAGATATAAGAATAAAACTTGTGCACTGTGGTAGAGTGTAATTCCATTATGGGTAAATTTTGTTTTGATAAAGTCTCACAGTGTTATACAGTAATGTTTACTGTTTCCTTTGATCATAAACTGCTGGAATCGAGTATATCGCTAGCTCTAGTCTAACATATCATTAAGCCCACGTTCTATGACTCATAGCACTCCTCCTCAACTCTGGGCCTAATGTTCTACCACGGTGACGATGTGGATCTCATACAACATCTTCCTCCTTTAGGAAGAAGTGACCTTGCTGTGCTCACTTTCAAGTTCACAGCAAGGGTCAAAACCCCAGCTCGACCAAACGTTTGGAAAGCTGATATAAATGCGATCGTCTCAGCAGCCAACTCAGTAAACTGGTACATCAACCCAGAGTCCCAAGTAGAAGCCGCATGGAACCAATTTGAACAACTTTACACCCAAGTAACTGAAATTTTCATCCCTTGGTCTGTCCCAAAGGGTCGGAAACATTGCCCCCTTGGATAAACCGACAGATTCGTAAGTTCCTCAGATGTAAACACATATGTTGGAACCTGTTCGCGACACTTGAGATTTCTGAGACCATAAAATTATATAAAACTGCTAGAAATAAAACTATTGCGGAAATCCGCCAATCAAGGATGAGGTTCGAAGCACATCTGGCTCAAAATCTATAGGCACAACCTAAGAAAATTTTCTCGTACATGAACTTCAAGAATAAAATATCCAATGGTGTCCCAAACCTGATTATTGACGAAGATACAATCAAAGAAGATCAAGAAAAACAGAAGCAATGGCAAACTACTTCTCCCAAGTCTTCACTCAGGAGTCATCACTGCCTATAGGATCAGCTCTGGCTGCATCAGAAGAACACGAGGTAGATTCCGTTGACATCGACCAAGGCATCGTGCTCAACTGCTTAATGAAACTAGATGCAGGGAAATCAATGGGTCCTGATAATCTTCATCCAAGGCTTCTCAAGGAGCTATCAGCCCACATAGCCGGCCCCTTGACCACGATCTTCAAGCTATCTCTCCTAAATGGAGTGTTACCGCGTGATTGGAAAGACGCCATAGTAACCCTCATACACAAAGGAGGATCAAGACAAAGCCCTTCAAATTACAGGCCTATCAGTCTCACCAGCACTTTAATCAAGACACTGGAAAGAATTATCAAGAAAAGCATCATGGCTTATCTGGAAAATAGCAGCTTGTTATCTGGAGCACAGCATGGCTTCCGGAGGAACCTCTCATGCCTGTCAAATCTCCTGACTGCAAGAGAAAGCTGGGTCAAATCAAAGGACAACAGAAGACCCGTTGACGTTGTCTTCATAGACTTCAGCAAAGCCTTTGATAAAGTACCTCACAAAAGACTACTCATGAAATTGGAAAGTCTTGGTATCAAAGGCAGACTACTAGACTGGCTCAGGGAATTCCTCATAGGTAGGAGGCAGAGGGTTAGGATCAACTCAAAACTCTCCTCCTGGACAGCAGTGCCACAAGGCACGGTTCTCGGTCCTCTCCTTTTTATTCTGTATATCAATGAGTTACCTCTGCTCACCGACTCCCCTATGGTCCTATACGCAGATGACTTAAAAATTTGGAGAGAGCTGAAAAACAACAGTGATACGTTCACGTTGCAAGAGGACCTCAACAAATTGTCGGAGTGGTCCGTTGAATGGGTACTCCCGATCAATGTGGCAAAATGTGCAACCATGCGCATTGGATAATCAAGCACAAGCTCCTACGAATTGGAGGGAATAACACTTCCATCAGTTCAGACTCACTTGAACTTAGGTGTCATAGTCACGACTTAAAAACTACAGCACACTGTCGCGCGGTGGCTGCACGTAGTTTCAGGTCCTTATGGGCGATTCGCAGAGCCTTTACAAGAATTACCAGAGATATGTTCACCTCCTGATATACATCTCTGGTTAGGTCAAGACTGGAAAACTGCATCCAGGCCGCCAGTCCTTGTCTAAAAGGGGATTCACACATTCTAGAAAGTGTTCAAAGGAAGGCAACGCGTATGGTTCACGGCATAGCTAACTTATCATACGAGGAAAAACTAGACAGTCTAAATCTCTTCTCCGTGTCATACCGTAAGCAAAGAGGAGATTTAATCACAATATTTATAATTTTAGATAATGACTACGGACCTGAACTATTCTCTCTTTTCCTTCCCACCAGGTCGGAACGCCTTAGAGGACATAGCAGGAGAGTTCAAAAACCAAGAAGAATTCATATTGCTGTTGAGTACTGGTTCTCACGCCGAGTCATAAACTCTTGGAACCGACTCCCAGAAGAAGTGGTGTCTGCAACCTCATCTGATTCGTTCAAGAAAGGTTTGGACGACCACAGAAATTTACTGGAAAAGGATTAACGTAGGCTTCAACCCTTCTATCCTCAACCAATAAATCTGAATCCGAATCCACACACAGAACGACGAAAAGTTAGTTAAGATATAGATTCCATATTAAATAAGTCTATTTCCAAATATCACACAGTGATGTAGTATTAACAACTGGATGAAGCTTCGAGAAGAACTTATCGCTCATAATCATGCCAAGGTACACACGCACAATGAGTACCCCTGTATTGCCCAAGTTTTACACTTACATTAAGATATCGATTCTCTAGCATACGTAGTCCTGAAGTAGTCTAGAGGGCGAATAGCGACTTCGGTAGTAAGAATCACAAACAATTCCGTTTTCTGAGTTAATATTTGGGTGTCTCGGAATTCCATAGGTCAAATTCATCTCAGCATTCGTATAAGGATATGAATTCAGTACAATAGAATCACCTCAGCATTCCCTTACCGAACCTGAAAATCTCGGTCGTAACTCATTCTCCCTATAAGGAATGACTAATGAATGAAATCCAGGACTGTATGGAATACTATAATCTTACAATAATTGATTTGATTGTAATAAGCATTATTTGCGTCTTAATGTGAGTGACTTTCGACATATAATTCTCCGTTGCCGGGGTGAGAAACGCGGTGTCTGTGGTAAGACCAAGTGACACATAACAAAACATTTCGGCCATTATTTGTGAGAATGTCTCTTGGTTTACTACTTCTCAGTCTGACAAAGACCTCACATTTAGGTCTCAGGTACTGCAAATTTTCCAGCAGGTGCAGTTTGAGTGAAGACTTTGACTGTGGTCCTGTAGCAGGTTCAGGAAATTCATAGGACTCATGAAAATGAAGACTTCTCATCATCACTTTCAGCTGAGTTCAAAACAACGGCCTATTGGTTTATTTCACCACAGGGAACTTAAGGTGACCTCAGTTCCCCTTTAAAAAGGTATGTGTTCGATAGCTCCTAAACTTCATTTATGGGATTCTACTGTTCTGTCCATAGTACTCCGCTTTTCGGTCAATAGCTTGATAAGTTGCCAAATTGTTACAAAGCAGTCTTCGCCTTCAATCTTCGTAAATGAGAACACCTTGTATTTCACCATCGGCACACAAATGTTAGAAAGTTAAGACATATCTGATACCAGCTAATGCGTTAAGAAACGACAGCACACCCAGTATCAGCACACGTAGAAAAGTCGGCTGGAACACAACAGAATGGATGTGTGTTGTTAAAGCCCGATGTTCCAGGCGCAACCCAAAAGAATCATAATGATTCGTGGCCTACGGTGAAATGACACCTTAAAGAATCTGAGAGTTCAGTAAGTGATGGGTTCGTGGCTACTTGTCAAAGTATGTGGCAACTATTCTCCGTAATCATTATTCTTATCCCACCTGAACTAGGCCATATCGCATATATTTACAATGTCAGTGGAAATAGTAGGGTTTAGATAAGTTTCGATCACGAATATTATTCTGGGGTCTGGAACATTACAAGTTCATCCGATATATCTCTCAGCCTTCTAAAACTAGCATATAGGCAGATGAGGACTTGTGTCAGCCAACTCTCAGAAACTGTGAATGTCAAGCTCTTACTACTCTGGACCTCACGCTGTCCCTGGAAGTATTTCAGAAACAATTTGTGATAACCAACGCGAAAAGCCAGAACACAGAGTGGCGACTCGAGAATCCTTTATTCCTACGCCAATATGTGATCAACAATAAGGTTATTATACACAAGGTACAAGAATAAATGTTATAACAATAAATCACGATAATACTTCCGATAGTTTTCTGTCTTCCACCGAACGGCGAACGATGAGACGATGATTGACGTATTGATGACTCCCGCAAAAAATATGGAGGATTTGGGTTTGAGCAAACAACGGTGAATTGATCTTTCAATCCTCAACTACATTGACAATCGCCAATACACCTTCACTTCCCCGTCCATTTTTTTGGGCTGTGAGTTCATGGCCTGTTCGTCACTATTCACAGGTCGTTTTGGTTTTTTCCCGGCCCACCGTTTGAGGTTTTATATTGACCCATAAAAGGTACGTTTTGATGCAGGTCTGAAGCAGGCTGTTGGAAATATTTTTAGCGACCCGTTTACCGAGTCCCTGAATCGTACAGAACCACTGACTTCACATTAACGTTGAAAATTCCTGTCGCTTTTACTGAGATCTGTAGACTCTGAAACAATTTTCTGATCTATGAACGTCTGTCCTGACTTCCTTGTCCTGATGGCCGGCTAATTATCTTCCTGGCTTTGACATACTCATCTGTATCGTCTAATTGTTGTATAAAACATGCTGCCAGTCCAGATAGGTGAGTTAGGTAGACGGTTTCGCTTAAAATTCTCCTGTTGACAATGTTGAGTCTTTTCTTGCGGTTGTTGTTATCAGTCAGACATTTTCATCGGCTTTGCCTTCTCGATGTTCATCTAGTCTTATCTTCTCGGCCTCTTTTACACACTTGCTTCTATGCGTTTGAATCTCATGAGACACAAATGAATGTATGCGTACCTGAAAAACTGCCACGTAAATTAAACATCAGACATTTTAGCTTCTACAGTGCGTTTCGACCATAAGTATCGAATTTTAAAGGAGGCGCACGGTGTTAAAACTTAACAACAGTTTTTATATTTAGGAAAAAAGACCATTGGAATCAGATTCACTCACATTTTGACTATAGTCAAAAGTCTTATATACATATATATAGTCAAAGTCTTATAAGACTTCTATATCCAGTGAAAAGACTTAACTACTAGGTAGAAATATTAAATTGAAAAACTAGGGAACCGTATCGAATCCTACAGGAACTGGCTGGGGGAGGTGAAAGAACTGTACGCTTGGCACTATGTTCCAAATAAAGCAATTTATTACAGGGTTGTGGACCTCACGATGACCTTGACGCAAATACAAATGCAGAGGAGTATGACTTCTAAGTCGGAAGGACAAGATGGCCCGAATAAAGTCCGAATTTCTCAAGGGAATGAATACATCTATATATTTGGCTTCAACATGTCTAGTCTTACATCTGACTGTAGACTCCTTGTCTGTATTATCGGTATTTTCGTGTTATACATATGTTTTGGGGCATTACAAGTAGGTTGACGTTTTATTTCCCTCTATTAATACGTATAAGAACTAGGTGATTATGTAAGAGCACACAGCATTGAGATATAATAAGATAAGAAAGAAAGGTTTACTGTTAACTACGTCAAATTATTATTTTAAAATTAAAGACAGTAATATATATATATATAATATATAAAAAATCCACAATATTGTGGATTTTTTCTCACATTAACAATGAAACCCGTATACTGGACATTCATCGCCTTATACAGAAATCGCTTCTCAGATTTGTTCTTATTAGCCGGCCTAAAAATGTCATTTTCACGAATCCTTTCTGTTCATGCAACTAGCACTTTACTTATTCCTTGGCGTGCTGCAACTAGTTTCTGGAGTTTAGAATAGTCCACTCAGTATTTTTCATGATGCGCACATTATATGCCTTCGCAAAGTTCCGAATCGGACCAAAAAGTACTCAATGAGGAACCTGCACAATAACCCCTAGCAACACAATGAAGTACCTGTGATAAGCTAACCTCTCCTCTCAGGGTTTATCTAGTCACTGATTCAGTTGTGGGTTATTAAACGGTTGATGTTTAAAGGGCTGAATAGTTAGATTCCACTTCTCACTCATTTTTTAAAACACCGCTGCAAAATAATAGCTTTCCTATGATATTTATGCAGCTCTTTATCCTAATGTGATATATCTTTTAGGATGACGACCGTACTCATCACCTCGGATACTATATAGTGTTCATATAATTTCTACTCGCTTCTCTCACCTTTCGGATTTCTAAGTCGGCGTTTTAAAGCCGTATTTGGGTGATTTAACGTTAGACTTAGATACACGGTCTGCTCTTCAAGTCTTCTGAGTTTGATGTTTAGATCTTTTATAAATACTAATCTGTTTCATCTGAACTAATATGGTCTTTAGTTGTAGCACTTCAGCACATATATGAACTAACACTGAAATGCATTTGGTTTACCACTGAAGTTTTAATGAAACCTGACAGAAGATTACAGTAATTTTGTTTGATATAGCTGGTTTATTATTTCCCTGTAGTTGTTTAATGTGTTGTATGCATTAATGATAGATGTCAATAGAGCGTAACAAGGTGCCCACGTTTATATGCTATACTTTTAACTACATCTTTTTTTAAACATCTGTGACACTTATCTGAATTTGACTCCCTAGATGTTTTAAGGATTGATTAAAACCCTGTGATGTCTTAATTCATTAGTGCATCACTCGTTGACTGATATTTTTGTTTCCTCCAACCACTAAATTTCGTGTAACTTGATGGTATCATATCAATGACTTACTGCACAGCGCATTACTTGACCATGTACTTTATACATGGTCTGATAGTAAGATGTGTAACGATGGAAAAAAAATCACAAAAATGCAAGAAGCTCTATGTAGTTTCCAGCAATTGGGACCTTTTGTAGTTGCACATCCACGACTAGGGAATTGATCCTAATTTTTGATAATGTCTAGTGTCCAAGCGCATAGCGATATTCAAAAATTCTGATTATTATATACAGGATTGTCACTTCTATGTGATTTGCATTGAAGTAATGTTCGTAGTATATACCAATTATTCAAATCTCATTACTGATTTTAGATACAATATGTATTCAAGTTTATTTTAATTCTTGCAGGAAGCAATTTTTACTGCCAATGATCTACGATCGTACAGTCCATTCCTTACGCTTTATCAATTTGGAATCTACGCAGTTTTATCATTCCTTGAGTTACGTATGCAAGGTTACGTAATATTCAGGTTATTTGCTTTCTACTAATACTTATACTTGATATATTCATTTAGTTCATGGACTAATCTTTATGTTGTTATAGCTCTACTGACATTGGGTTCGATCGCCTTTTCCAATGCTTCAGTTGGATATCTAAATTACCCAACTCAAGTTATATTTAAATGTTGCAAAATGATACCTGTTTTGTTTGGTGGGGTTTTTATACAAGGTATACTGGATTACGCAATTTCTTTGGTTACTTGCTAGGCAAAACGTACTCAGCCTTCGAAATTGTAGCAGTTCTTATGATGACTTTGGGTTTAATATGTTTTACACTGGTCGATGTATCTATACAGCCGAAATTCACTTTGTTTGGTAAGTGTTTATTGCACTCACAGTATTCTTAGTTTTTAGACCACCATTTTTAATTTATCTGAATAACAAACTATCAGTTTGTGTAGCCGAGGGAAAACTCTTTCTGATAGATTTGTTTAGGTCACAATTACATTCATTGTACTAGTAAGATCAGAAATGTATGATGAATCAAGAAAATTGTTACTGACAGTCAAAGCTTGCTGCAAGCATGTTGTAACTAATTCGGGCCTCAATCGTTTGTGATAAGTCATATTCAGATTGTTACTGTGGTGAGAAGACGTTTATGCCCAAATAACAAAGCTCGGAGAACAAACAATCGCCACCAATAACCATGTCTAAAATGTATTCGTCAATTAGCTGTCTAAATCAGGTAATAACAGATACAAAGCTGTTTTAATATTATCAGGAATCCAGTTGATTGATCACAAAAGTAAAATGGTAGGTAATATCATACTCATATTGACAGTTAACGCATTCGTCATATGTTTCCTCGTATACCTGGAATTTAGTCTATGAAGTTTATAACTTGAAGCAATCTAGTATACATTGTTGCTACATAGCATTTCACTAGGTCAAAGAGTAGACAAATTTTGTTTAGACACCAGCTATTATCTTACTTCTATGGTAATACATATATGTCTCAATACTGTTACACTTGAAATCTCCTAACAATAAAGCCTAAATGTACAAATTTTTTGAACATCAGGCAGGTGTATCTCAAACATACTGTTTGGAATATAGCCATTATTATTATTAACCTTGCTAGAACTCATGTTTCTTCACAGAAATGAATATGAAACACTTAATGATAATTAAAGTTTAGGATCATGATACTCAGCTACTGAGTCATTACCTTCATCAACGGGCAATGTTAGCTGACATAGGGTCAGGCTGGAAAAGAGCTAGCGGTGGTCAAACCAAAACGCGGCCACCAGTCAATGAAATCCACAACAGTTAGTTTAAGCCAGCCACGTAGGAAGGTGTAGACTTCCTGGTTGGGGTCCTCAGGATGGTAAAAACCAATGGTTGGAAACAATTGGTGATATAGCTCAAAATCGTTCTCAATAGCTGGCGCAGATTCATCCACTCTTTGTGACTTATAATACCGAATGAAGATACATTGTTCTTCGTTACTACTATTCTTTTGTCTCACATCTCTGTTTAATGTCTCTATTATGCATTTCTTCTACTTTGTTCTCTTGCTTTGTGTGCTACATGGAGTGTGGCGACTTGAACTGCTGCACATCGGTGCAAAGCTCTATTTTGAAAACAGACACAGACAGACTCAGCTGCTGACTCAGTAATCGATTTCAGTTACATATCTGATGACACATGCGGCAATAGATAATTAGTATTTATGGCTTTGTAACTTTGAAACTGATCTAATCAAGAATATTATTATGACTGAATAAAAAGCTTATATTACTGTGTTATTCGCTGCAAAAATAAAGTGCAAACCGTAGGGTATCATGATTCTACCTACGGACAGAACTGACTTATCTGGTAATATCTAAGATAAGGTATGTTGACCGTTTAAATTAAAGTGTTTGTTGTAGTTTAGTTGAAATAAACTGTGACCGTATAATGTATAATCAAGGGGTCGGATATATTCGGATATGCGTTTAAAACTTTTAGTCTGTCTGGATTCAACATAGAACTTGGCACCGAAGTGCAGCAGTTCGAGTTGCCACGTTCCAAATAGCACACAGAGGTAGACAAGAAGATGGGTGAAGAGAATCAATAGAGTTTGACAAGTATAAGAGTGAAACAGAATGGGTAATGGTAGAAAGAAATATGAAAGATTACAGAGACTGAATACATCTGCGCTGGTCATTGACAACGATTTTGAGCCATGTCACCTATTGTCTCCAGTCATTGATTCCTAGAGTCCCGAGGGCCCCAACCCGGAAGTCTGCACCTCCCTACCTGACTCAGTTTAACTGTCAAGGATTTCATGGATTGATGAGGCCATGTTTTTGTTTGGCCACCACTTACTCCCTCCCAACCTGCACCTATATCAGCTAGTAATGTCCGTCGATGGAGGCGATGGTTAGGCATGCGCAGCACGTGACCTAGCCATCTCAATCTATGTAACTTTATAGCCTCGTCGATTGATTTTGCCTCTTGGCCCAACACTCTACGCCTAACGTCGACATTACTTACCTTATTAAACCACCTAACGTGAGAAAGAGATCGCAGACATTTGTGAAAGCTGCTACCTTGACGTGGTGGTCGGGCTTGAACACCGCAATGTTCTATTCAAGCTATACTGGCTGAGACTTATATCTCTTGAGGTCCTACCATGCCAGAAAGGTTGTTTGGATAGTGGTTAGACAAAAAGCAGCTACCCAATCCAACACTATGATACATACAAACTCACAAAATATCATGCCGGATCGGCCGGTGCCCGGATTAACAACGACCGCGCTTCCTGCTGCCGTGTCACAGGGCAGGAGTGATAAATATGCTACTGAGACACACAAAACAAAAAGAACAGACAAAAACAGGCCGCGTGTGACCAGCCTCAGGCAGTTGTCCCCTGGGCTCTGCGGTCATGCAACCAACTTCCACGGTGTGGGCAGCCGGGAAGTAACAATCGCCCTCACAATCCGAAAACTTTTAGTATGAACAAGTTAGTCATAATCTAATAGTTAATGTTAGTTATGTATTCTATATTGAGTAAATAATGTAGAGTATATTTTATTATTAGTTTACAAAGAGAAAGGCATCTAGACTGTCTGTTTACTTATATCTTTTTCTCTACCTGAAGTAAAGTATTAATCCGGTTGGTGCACTACTGGAGTATTCGTGTTTGTTTGTCTGCAGCATGATAATTTAAAGATAAAAAAGAATATGTATTGTATTGCGTGTTATGGATAAGTTTACATGTATATATTTTCCTACATTATCTTATTGATTTATCTTTCATAGGAGTTTTTCTAGTCTCATTAGCATTATGCTGTGATGGAGCATTGGGCAATTTTCAAGAGGTTGTCATGAAAAAGTACTGCAGATCAAATACAGAAATTGTAAGTTGAAATGTATTACTTCGTTTATACTTCTTATGGAGTTATTTATTTTATAATTTTAAATGTTTTATATATATATATATATATATATATATATATATATATATGAACAATCATCAGCTCGCTAAAGTCGATTCGGTTCACACCCATTAGTATATCTACGGTAAAGTTAAAAAATGGAGGCACTCAGCATTCCTGACGCATATCGCCAATTGTCATCACTTCAAATGACAAATCTCCACATGCTTTCACACGGCTATATTAATTCAAGCAGGTGTTGATCGGTGAGACATATTTTGTTAGCACCCCGTTCACTGCTAAACATTGCTACAACACCTCTTGGTCTACAGAGTGGAATACCACCTTCATGTCAGGAAATATGTCGTGTTGGACGTCGGTAAGTATGCCTAAATTCTTGAGTCTGTCATCCAAACCTAGATCACATCTGGTTTTCCTGGTTTGTTTCTGCCGAACAACTCCCAGTCTACACATCGCTATTGAACCTAAAATCTCAGATATTATGTTAGTCAAACTGATCCTCCAATGGACCCATCTCACTTCTCATAAACTTGGATAGTCAGTGATTTACACCAGTCCAGCAGAATATCTCTGATTTTTACACTTTACGTGATATTTACGTCATAAGTTAACTCAGTCGGTAGTCATCAATAACGCACTTAAACACCTCTGGAACCTTACCATCATGTCTCGTTACTCTGCCTCATTTTAGATTGCAGACAGCTTCTTTCTCATTCGAAGGGATTATACCTACTTCCCACTCAGGTAGGTGTTGGATATTGGGCAAATTTAGCTTGGCTGTAGGCCAGTTGAATTAACCCTGAAAGTTTTCCTTCCAACCTTTATGTAGTTTATCCTAGGAGGCAGTTGAAGTGCTATTCTTCTCGAGTATGTTCCAATCATCATCGGCTTTTTACGTCCCGTTCCCCTAACGAGCCTAAATCATTGTCTGGTGTTAGCTACCGCCGATGCTTTCTCCATGTTTGGTTTTAGTTGCCTACCACTGATCATGATCGTTGTCAAGACTTATGGTCAGCTTTCCCCCATAATATAAACGTACATATTATAATACTTGTATCAGATAACTGAATTATGTCTTGAAAGTTTATTTGTTTGGCTTCACATTCATGCTTTCTCTTGAACAACACTGCTGAAAGCTGTTAAGTTGCGTATTATACCTATGAAATTAATGATAAATTTAAATGTATGACTTAGTCAGTGACCTTTGGTAATCAACAGTTAATTTAGTGTTACAATGTTTATATGTAAATGATTTTTCTAATTCACCATACAGTGTTAGTTAGCGCTTGGTTTAAAAAAATCATTTTACACGTAAGCATAGTTAGTTTTTTGATTCGACACTAGTAACTAGTGTGATGTGTCTAGTCCTGCCGATTGCCTCCAACCATCTAATATCATCAAATCAATGTGCGCTTTGATGGCGAGCTACCTAGAATGGTGGCCACATTACAACCTGACTGGTAGAATTCAGTCTGCACCAAAGAGAGGACTAGACACATCACACAAGTTACTAGTGTCAAATCAAAATATCCACTACAGTCTTACAGGAGGTCAATCGCGAGCCCGAAAAGCTCAGTGGTAACGTCTCTGACTGCAGCACTGGGTGACGCGGGTTCAAATCTCAGAAGGGACATGAATTCCTTCAGGGTTGCAGATACGCCTTACTGACGAGTGCCAACTAGCACGAAACCTAGGTAAGCATAGTTAGCATTGTTATGGCCTAATTAGGTGAATTATACGATATAGTTAGCTGGGTTTTAATGTATTACATTGGGTAAGGTAGTACTCTCAGCATTTCATTGTATCGAAAAAGAATAGTTGAGTTGTTCACTACTTAAGCAACATGTAATAACTTATGCAGTTTGTACTCACACAGAATTGCAATAATAAACTATGAATTCATAATTACAGGTATGAACTGTACGAAAGGTTATTGTACTTTTGAAATGGCTACTAAAGCCGAACAGCATATTTAGTTTCTACTTAGGATTTACCTTGGGAGTACTTAAATTTAATATGTGAGACAAGATTTCAGTGTATCATACATACTAGATGACAGGTGAATTAACTACCAGATTAGCGCATGATATTTATTTTTTAGTACTGTCATTACATTGTATTTTCTAATCTAACTTTTCTGTATTCTTTTATTGTTTACTTTCTTTCTTATTTTAGATGTTTTATTCATACTCCGTGGGATTTTGTGTACTTTGTTGCGGTCTCGCGGTAACTGGAAATTTAATACCAGCATTTCATTTTTTCAATGAAGTATGTAAAAGTTTAATTAAAGATTTCGGTTTGATAAAATAGTGAGATTTATTTGTTGTTAGAAGTAGGACGCACACTTGATTGATATAGAATTTCATGACCGCTTACAGTTAGATTAACGAGTTTGACACTGATTGTCTTTCAGTAAGTGAACAAATTATCCAGTTTATTTGAAGTGGGACCCAGTTATTCTGCAAATAATTCATGTTCTCACTGGCAGTTCACACTAGTTTTGTTTTCAGTTATAGTAAGACTGGTAAAATACATGTATTCCACCTGTTTAATAGAGAGAGAAATCACTTTACAAGCTTTCACATAAACACCTCAGTTTAGGCGTCTAATTTGCAAATAACACGCTGTTCATTTTCCCAAAATTCATTGTTTAGAAAAGCGACATCACTGACCTGAAAACATACATAATGGTGAATTTTTTTAGTGTGGAAAATAGATTTCAAGTATACCATATTTTTTATTAACAAAATTTGTAAAGTATAATAATAATAATAATAATTCGAAATCTGTATACACACATGAGGAATTTAAGTTAACCTCTTTTACAGTAAATTAACTAAACATATGCCTAAGTGATGAAAATGATTACATCGTTCAACAGTTTGCCACTTATAGTAAATGTGCATTGATTACTCAGTGCTCCAATCATTTTGCAATAATTAGGTGTGAAGCTACACATAGTTAGTTGTACAGTGTTTAACATGCCTAGTTCAAACAATATGTTTAGTGGATATATTTATACTTTATGCTCATCACAAATGAGATAGACGACTTAATTACTATAATTACTGGCTTATAGGGTTAGTCAGTCTTTGAAAGCGTTGTACCAGTAAAAATATGCTAGTAAAGATCAATCGCTTTTCACTATTAGTGTCTGAAAGATTATATTTGACACTTTGAAGTCTTTAAAAGGTTATGAAAAAACGTTAGATGTATCTTCGAAGAAAGGTGTCACACGAAAAATGGTCATTAGATCTCAACAGACAAGTTGGCCGAAGTTTATCTACAATTTTAGTTTCCTTAGTGCACTGTAATCAGCCGAAAGTTCAGCAGCACTTAGCACAGAGAATGAGATCCCAATCTTTAATACTAATGTCAACTCAGTGTTTATATATAGCTCAGAGACTTGACACGTCAACGAAAGTACTTCCAACATGCTACAGACTTTCATTCATATATATATATATATATATACCTTTCGGGCAAAATTTCGACACAAATTAAGCCAGTGAAGGATGACAATGGAAAGTCAATCACCAAAGAGGCGGAGCAAAGAAAACACTGGGCTGAACACTTCAAAAGACTTCTAAATCGACCGCTACCTACAACACGCCCAACAATACCAACAATGGAGGCAGAACTACCAGTGAACATCACCCCCACGACGAAATCAGAAGTCTTGAATGCAATCAAGTTGCTAAAAGCTGGAAAAGCAGCAGGACCAGATGGAATCCCACCAGAAGCATTGAAAATGGATCCAGAGACAACAGCGGACTTGATGACGCCACTACTGGAGAAGGTATGGAAAGAGGGCAAAGCACCTGAGGATTGGAAGAAAGGATACTTATTCAAACTGCCAATGAAAGGAGACTTAAGTCAATGCAATAACTGGCTCCTGTCCATCTGAAGCGAAATACTAAGCCAAATCATCCCACAGAGAATCAAACAAGCCCTGGATGAAAAAATTCGACCGGAACAGGCTGGATTCAGGGGAAACAAGTCATGTATTGATCAAATCGCCACACTACGAATCATCATTGAACAGAGCTTGGAATGGCAGTCACCTCTCTATCTCAACTTCATCGACTTTGTAAAGGCCTTCGACAGCGTCAATCGAGAGGTGATTTGGCAACTACATCGCTACTACGAGGTGCCATCGCCTTTTATACATCTCATCCAACAGTTATACAACAATGTTGCATGCCAAGTAATCCACAACGGGAAACTTACGGAAGCCTTCGAAGTGAGGACGGGAGTGAGGCAAGACTGGCTGTTTACTATCGCCAATGATCTTCCTGATTGCAGTAGATTGGATAATGTGACAGACAGACAACGGGCAATGAGGAAACAGGCATAAAACGGACCCACACAAAAGATTTGGAAGATCTGGACTTCGCCGACGATATCTGTCTGATTTCCCACAAACTGGAAGAAATGCAAGTGAAAAGCAACAAGTTGGCAGAAGAAGCATTCAGAGAATATAGGACTTCAACTGAACATAGATAAAACAGAGGTGATGAAGATTCCTGGACAACACCAACAGCAGCAACAACAACAGACAACAATCAGCCAGCATAAATGGGAGGAACCTGAAAGAAACAACCTCCTTTACCTACCTGGGAAGCATTGTTTCAACTACAGGCGAACAGAACTGACGAGGATATCAAAGCAAGGAGCGTGAAAGCAAGACATGTCTTCATTACTCTCAATTCTGTGTGGAGGTCAACATCACTCAGCATCAAAAGTAAGATCCGGATTTTCAACTCCAATGTGAAGTCAGTGCTACTATACGGATCAGAGACTTGCACTACGCGTCATTAAGAGCATCTCAAAAAACTTCAGACCTTCATCAACAGTTGTCTTCGCTCACTACTACTCAAGATGAGATGGCCGGTCAGAAAAGATCAGAAACAGGGATCTCTGGGAGCGAACCAACACAGCAGGAACCGATTGTGCAACAAATAAGCAGAGAAAAATGGAGGTGGATCAGCCATACTCTGAGGAAACCACCAAGTGACATCACTAATCAGGCGATTGCTTGAGTGGAACCCGAAAGGGAAGCGGCGAGTTGGTCGTCATTGCGGGGGCGACTTGGAGCGGGGTGAAAATGTTGGCAGAAAACCGAGCGCAATGGAGACGTGCGGCTGAAGACCTATGTTCCTCTAGGAATTAAAGGAAATAATAATAATAATTTGTTTGTCGAAATCCACATACAGCATCATCATGTTAAACTTACTATTTCTTCAGCGAACTTCAATTTTATAATTTAGCTGACCTTAAATGTTTTTTTCTTGTGAAGTACTAGATTCAACTTAACAAAAGTGCTGAAATGATTCGTAGAGTTTTTCTTCCTTTCAGGTAGAAATTCTATTTATCAAAATTAAGAATAAACTTTTTATGATGTTAAAAAAAGGCGGATTTTAACCAAGTGTGATCCCTAACAACGACTGATAACTGAATGCACTGGGAACTCCTCAAAACTATATTTATAGGATTCATTATTATTACTATTAGCCATTCCCCGACCAAAAGCTGCTACCTTGACGTGGTGGTCGGGCTTGAACACCGCAATGATCTATTCAAGCTATACTGGCTGAGACTTATGTCTCTTGAGGTCCTACCATGCCAGGCAGGTTGTTTGGATAGCGGTTAAACAAAAAGCAGCTACCCAATCCAACATCATGTCCAATACAAAATCACAAAATTTCATGCCGGATCGGCCGTGGCCCGGATTAACAACGACCGCGCTTCCTGCTGCCGTGTCACAGGGCAGGAGTGATAAATCTGCTACTGAGACACACCAAACAAAAAAGAACAAACAAAAACAGGCCGCGTGTGACCGGCCTCAAGCAGTTGTCCCCTGGGCTCTGCGGTCACGCAACCAACTTCCACGGTGTGGGCAGCCGGGAAGTAACAATCGCCCTCACAATCCGAAATGCACACGAAACCTCTCTATTACTCACTCATCTTTGTCTTCATCTTCATCTCTATCATCTTGCCTTCCTTCCACTGATGCAACTCCTCGACTTGATAGCTCTCCACTTCCTCTCCACTCTGCGTCCACTAAAAACGATGGAAGCCAAAAAACCACCACCGACAGCCTCTTAAAGCCGCGCCACCAATTTCATATAGGAGCTCTTAATGTTAGGACACTTTGCCAAATAGGACAACAAGCATCACTAGCCAAGACCCTGGCATCACGAGCCATTGATGTATGCTGTGTTTCAGAAACACGCATACAAGACCCAAGTGTGGTTATTCACCTAACCCCACCTGGCCAACAGGTTGAATCTGCAAAATTCACCTTGAGGGTGTCAGGAGATGCCACAGCTAGTTCACGAGGATTAGCTGGCGTAGGGATAGCTTTGAGTACTAGGGCAGAAAAGACATTGCTTGACTGGATCCCGGTAGATAGCCGAATGTGTGCTGTCCGCCTGAACGGATCAGTAAGAAGGAGGAAGGACTGCACTACTCGCCGATGCCTTTTCGTAATCTCCGCCTACGCCCCCACTGACTGCAGTTCAGATGAAACGAAGGATGAGTTCTACCAAAAGCTGTCTAGTTTGGTGGAAAGGCTAAACGCTCAGACATAGTCGTTCTAGCTGGTGACTTTAACGCTCAAGTAGGGAAATTGTGTCAATCTGAGAAGGATGTCGGTGGCACCTATGGAGTTCCGTGCCAGCGAACCGACAACGGTGACCGTCTCCTACAGTTCTGCTCTGATAATCATTTGTTTCTTGTAAGCACTAACTTCAAACACAAGGAGAGACACTGTTTGACTTGGAGACCCCCTTCATCAAACCAACGCTGGACACAAATAGACCACATAGCAATAAGCTATCGTTGGCGTGGGTCGGTAGGAGATTGTCGCTCCTTCTGGAACACGTGCGTAGATACCGACCATGCACTGGTCCGCGCTCGGGTGTGCTTACGACTGAACGGACGTAGGAAACAGCTGGCGGTAAAACCATCACGTCCCCAGCTCGATCAGGAAACTAAATCCGTATTTGAGGAAGAACTAGCTAAACACATATCTGTGTTCGACAGCTGTGCTCACCCTGAAGAAGCTTGGAAAAATATCCAGGCAGCCATAGATACAGCTGTAAAAGCTGTGAATAAGGTAAACCCAAAGGTGAGTAAAAACCACTGGATCTCCACCGCCTCATCCGAACTGATAGATGCTAGAAGACTTATTCCGGCGAGCTCCGAATTCAATGAGGAGCGAAAGCTGCACAAGAGGAAACTTACGAAAAGTCTCCGCAAGGACCGTGAACAGTGGTGGGCGACAAAAGCCAAAGAGATGGAGAAAGCTTCGAGGATAGGCAACACCAGGCAACTCTTTGGACTCATCAGGGAAACGGGTGGGAGAAGACAAATCATCAGTGAGACAATCTCGGAAAAAAATGGCACTATAATTAGCTCCCAGGATAGACGACTGGATCGTTGGAAAGAGCATTATGAGGAGCAGTTTAATTTGCCCACAGCCACGCTCAACCTTCCGAGCATCCAACACCTCCCTGAATGGGATATAGACACAGGTCCTCCGTCACTAACTGAGGTTACTAAAGCTGTCACCAATCTGAAACTAGGCAAAGCAGCGGGACCTGATGGAATGACTCCAGAGGTATTTAAGTACGGTGGAGACAGCTTACTGTCCGGATTAACTGAGGTACTAGGCAGCGTCTGGGAATCAGAAGAAGTCCCATCGGGTTGGTGTAAGTCACTGATTATCCCCATATACAAGAAGGGAGACAAGTCTTCCTGTGATAATCACAGAGGGATTAGCTTGACTAATATAGTATCTAAAGTCTTAGGCTCAATAATCATGCGTAGACTGAGTGGTGCTCGGGAAGCACAAACACGAGAGAGCCAGGCAGGCTTTAGACCAGGAAGAGGGTGTATTGATCATATCTTCACCCTCCGACAGATTCTAGAACATAGGCATTCCTACCGGCGTCCAACAGTCATTATATTTCTTGACCTAAAGGCAGCATTCGACTCTGTCGATCGAGAAGTTCTCTGGAGATGCTTGGCTGTAAAGGGAATTCCGAGAAAATATATTGCACTGATTAAGGCACTCTACTCGTACTCATACAGCCAGGTGAGGGCTTACGGCGAGCTGTCATCTGAACTGATGACGACCAGTGGTGTCCGTCAAGGATGCCCATTATCTCCTTTTCTATTCAACTTCATCATAGATGTGTTAATGGACTTAACCCTAGGTGACTTCAGCGACTCAGGGATTGACTTGCTACCAGGGAATAATCTCGTTGACTTGGAATATGCAGACGATATAGTCCTTCTAGGCGAAGACGCTGACGAAATGCAGAGTCTTCTAAACACCTTGAGCCGCAATCTACGAATGTTTGGCATGCGATTCGCTCCCGCCAAATGCAAGATGATGTTACAGGACTGGACTACATCGACGCCTAGTTTAAAAATAGGAAGTGAAGTGGTAGAGCACGTTGACCGCTTCACTTATTTGGGAAGTACCATCAGCCCCAACGGGCTGATCTCTGACGAAATCTCAGCACGAATACAAGGGGCTCGTTTCGCATTTGTTAGTTTACGCCGACTCTGGCGTAGACGAGATGTTCGACTATCGACCAAAGGGCGGGTGTACTGCTCATCAGTCCGCTCCGTCCTCCTTTATGGTTGTGAGACCTGGCCACTGAGAGTGGAAGACATGAAAAGACTAGCTGTCTTTGATCATAGGTGCCTGCGTTCTATTTCCCGTGTAAAGTGGCATAATAAGGTGAGCAACATTGAGGTTAGGCGTAGAGTTCTAGGTAAACAGGGGAAATCAATCGACGAAGTCGTGAAGCTACAAAGACTGAGATGGTTAGGACATGTGTTACGTATGCCAAGCCATCGCCTCCCTCGACGAGCAATGTTAGCGGATATAGGGTCAGGCTGGAAAAAAGCTAGCGGCGGTCAAACAAAAACTTGGCACCAGTCAATGAAATCCACAACAGTTGGTCTAAGCCACGTAGGAAGGTGTAGACTTCCAGGCTGGGGTCCTCGGGACGGTAAAAATCTATGGTTGGAAACAATTGGTGACATGGCTCAAAATCGTTCTCAGTGGCGCAGATGCATCCACTCCTTGTGACTTATGATCTCTAATGAAACTGTTTTGTCCTTCTTTATTACTCCTTTGTCTCACACCTCTGCTCACTGTTTCTATTATGCTTTTCTTGTACTTTCTTCTCTTGCTTCGCGTGCTACACGGAGTGTGGCGACTTGAACTTCCGCACATTTGTGCAAAATTCTATGTCGAAAACAGACAGAGAGACAGAAAGTAGGGCTTATTAGGATAGATTATTTACTAGTTTTATTTCTACTTGATACCGGTATTTATTCACCTGAATCTTTAAAATGTCTGTATTATTGTCTTATTAAATAAAATTGTTAGTTAAACAGTGTCAATAGTGCATTATCTTTACCTTTTGCACAAAAGACACTTTGCATCTCTTCTTCTATGTTTGTTAGTAGTCATTAGCCATGGTATTATTTCCAATGTTGAATGAATGAAACAATATTTGCCTATCCGTGTGTGTTATTTAACCTAAATTTATTTGAATTCCTCTAGTTCTCTCTTTGTATTATTCTCATTTTATTATATTGTATAATAATTATTCACTGTCGTTCATTACTACTTACAGCATGCTGTAGAAACTTATGGATATGGCTTCATATTTTCATTATCTGGTTATTTCGGTGTACAATTCGTCTTATGCTTAGTTCATTCTCATGGAGCTTTAACTGCTGTTACAGGTATGATATATACATACATTATTGTCATCATTACAATTATTATTGCTGGTTTCTTTTTATAATAAAGTGTATTCATCTTTCTCAGGATTTGCACATACAAACTGAGCAGTGTGATGAAGTTCTCACCGTGAAAACCGAATACCACTGTATATTGAATACATCTTGGTGGTGATAGCTATTGCTAGCTGGCTTTTTAGCCGAAAATTCTGAATTAAACTGTCTGATTTTTGTCTACTTTTGTTAGTAACACTAAACTTCACACTTTTATCCGGTATACTACCTGTGATAAGCTAAAGTACTACTAGCAGTTGAATTCGTTGCTTATGGAATAAAAAATGCCACTGATTTGCTAAAGTGTGTAGTAAAACTGATGCTGGATTCCACTGAAGGATAGATGAGTATTTCTATTCGGGTAGGTCGCATTAATACTTATTTCTAGTCAGTATGAGGAAACATTCGTCTCTAAAATCCCAAGAGTTTAAAGTTACTCTTCGCTTAATCGTTTTTTTTTTCTAGAAAATTGATAATCTTATATTAAGTAGTTTATGTGAACGCTGATCAAGATATGATCGACTAGTACTACAAACAACAACAACCAGCACCAATCATCATCAACGGGAGAGATTTAACAGAGGTTACATCCTTCAGTTATCCAGAGAGGAAGCATCTTTTCAATCACAGGCAGTGGGAACGGACGAAAATGTCAAAGTAAGCATCGGAAAGGTAATCTACGCATTCATTAACTTGAAACCAGTTTGGAAATCTTCTGTAGTCCGTCTCAGTATAAACAAAAAGATTCGGATTTTCAACACCAATGTCAAGTCGGTCAGTTAGTGCTTCTATACGGGTCAGAAACTTGGCCAGCGTGTCACGAAAAGGATTTCCAACAGGCCACTGCAGACTTTCATCAACAGCTGCCTTCGTTGCCTGCATACCAAAGATCAAATGGCCATAAAAAATAAGTAACAAGAAACTCTGTTTGGGCACCAACCAACCAAGAGGCGATCGCTCAACAAATATGTAAAAGAAAATAGAGATGGATCGGTCATACGTTGAGGAAACCGTCGAATGACATCGCGCGCCAAGCCTTCAAGTGGAATCCAAATGGGGAGCGACGGGTGGATCGCCTTAGGGTGACGTGGAGGAGATGATAGATTGTGGGAAATCGTGGTCCTAGCTGAAGAGGATGGCAGAAGATAGAAGAAAGTGGAGATTTTTTGTTGAAACCCAGTGTTCCACTCGAAACTCAAGGGAATAATAATAATAATATGTATAATTATAATAGTACTACAGAAATTGGGAGGTGAGTAAAAAGCAGACGTGTGTTCAAGATATATTTGTATAAATCTCAGCGAAATTAGGAAAAATCATCTTAACATTTTATTCGGCAAACTCATTCAAACAAAGTATTTCGAACAAGATTACAAGAAACTAACTACAGTTAGTCAGTGATACGCTCATATTTTGATTTAAATGTTACAAATATTTCCGAAGAATTTAAAGATTTAAGAGGACCAGGCAGTTAATTTGGTTTCATTTCATACATTTTTCAATGTATGCAAATAACTTTGAATAAAACAATGATTTTTTTTTACCAAACTAAGTATACGTATTTAATGAGTTATGGCTTCCTCTAAAGCTTTTGATCGACATAATGCATGATTAATTCTGTTTAACTCTGTATGTATGCATGTATGTATACATTACACAACAATGACATAAATACTGATGTATTAAGTAGCGAGCCACAAGTATTATGTTCAGGATTGATGGTACTAAGCTAACTACAGGAATCTCGAAAGCATGACACACTAGTTACAAAATAATAGAGATTTGTAGGTCAGATGGATGATTTGGAATTAGTTGTTTTCCCTGGGCTGGTAGGTTTAGTTGCGAAGCTTTTGTCGTCCTTCGGGACAGCATCTTCAGTGCAAGTTTTAGCATCAAATAAATTCATTTAAATTCTCCATGAATGATAGAACTACGCCTCCTGGTTGTTATGTTGCTGCTGCTGAGTGGTTAATAGTACGAGTTGATCACGGATTGATATCAGTTAGAGAACCATTGAAAACCAGGGAGTACTGGACAGCTGCTGTTTCATCCTAGTTTGGGAATCATCGGCAGTACGTGATCAACTCGTAAAACATAACTAATCCTTACAAACCAAACTATAGATGGTTAATAGTAGTTTTCCCCGTCGCCAAATTGTTGTGTACTCGTCGCCAAATTATTGTTATGTACTGGTCGAGAATTTAATAGTCCTGACGCAAGAAAGACGGAAATCAGAAGACCACTAGGTTTGCGATGATACTTCTATTTTCCAAACACAAGGAGAATCAAATGTATCACACAATAGTGTGAGAGCAAAATATATATGAATGTCCAAACAAGTGTGTGAACAAATCAATAGACAGTCTTAACATGATTGGCTAATTATAATGGAGTATCGATCCATATATACATAGCGAAATATAACAGACTGTCAAACAAACACACATATTATATATACTATAAGGGGAATATACATTGTTAAAGGAGACAGGTTCATCAAAGTGAAATGGTCACAGACTAAGAGAGTAATAGAAAGAGAGACCACCATATATATATATATATATATATATATATATATATATATATATATATATATATATATATATATATATGGATGCATATCACTGTTAACCATCTTCATGACTGGTAGTGGTCGATTTGTATCTTTTTTGACCATGTTTTATTGACTTGGAATTTGACCTTTCTTGTCACGTGACTTATTTTTTATTAGTTGGTCAATTCGGTTTTTAATAATATGTTTGTAAATCGCTGATTCACTTGAGTACCATGCTTCTAGGAATTCTCTGACAAGAAAGTTCAATTTCCAAGTCAAAATAAAATAACCATTTCAAACAATCAATCAAAAGATCTGCAATAAATAAACGAGTTTCTTCTTAAACAAAGACACAACTATTATGTTATTGTTGTTGTTCCTTTGTGCTCCTAATGGGACATAGGGCTTCAACAACACATCTGCACTTTGCAATCTTCTCTGCGGTCCTCTTTAGCTAGCCCCTTGATTGCCCATACTCTTTCATCTCCTACATGTCACACTCGGACGTCCAACCCGTTGTTTCCTATCTGGGTCTCACTCCAGCTATGGCCTGGCGTACGACGTCACTCGACTGTATCCTCAACGTGTCGGCAATCCATTTCCATTTTCTCATGAATATTTGTTGAACAGTTGTTCCTTGATATGATCATCCCCAAAGTTTCTTGTCGCCAATTCTTTCTGCCCACTTGATCTTCAGTGCGGAGCCAGCGAAGACAGCTGTTGATGAACGTCTGCAGTAGCCTGTTGGAGATACCCTTCGTGGCTCGTACACTAAGTTTCAGAAGCATATAGAAGAACTGACTTAAAATCCGATTCTCGTTCTTTATGCTAGCTGAGCTGAGATTTTCAAACTGATTTAAGAGTGATGAAAGTCTGCCTTACCTTGCATATTCTTGTTTTGACGTCCTCATCCGCTTGGCCTGTAGTTGAAACAATGAAATAAGGGACTTGTTTAAAATTTCTCCAATTGGTTGTTGTTGATTGGTTATTTTCACCACCTCCGTCTTTTCTATGTTCACTTGAAGTCCTGTCTTCGAAGACACGAGCAGTTCAATTTAAAAAAAATACTTTTGCGGCTTGAATATTTCTTTAACCAGAAAAATATATACCCTTTTGTCACAAGGAAAGAAAAAATTCTCCTTTCCACTAATCCATTTACTGAGCTATACGACAGTGAACATATATATATATATATATATATATATTCAAATTGATTTTTATGGTTTATTGTACTAGATACTGATCAGAACATACATAAGTTGCTTCTCTCTCGATTTTGTGTCTAATAGGCTACATATCCACTTTCTTGAGATTGAGATGCAGTCTATTTGATTTTTGATGTATCCATATAGTGAACTGTACATCGCCGTGTTGATATCCTTATGCTATGTGAAATCACAAATTCATTGAATATAGGGAAGTATGAAAAGATGTCTCCGTATTTAACTGAGTGTCTCTCTATCTGTGATAACTTCTTTTTCTGTGTCATCTGATAGCAGTTTAGCACTTATGTTGCATATCAGAATCTAGGTGTTACCATCTGCCTGGGTTCATGTACATTACTGTTTGCAGTCGCCTGTAGAAGTCGTCCTTCTCCATTGGGTCTGTGTTGTTTATAAGTGCGCAGCATTGTATGGTTGTAACTTCCCTTCCTTTTAAGTTGAACCTTACTGTGATGATCTTGGAGAGGATTGGTTCTCACTTCACACACTGTTTATGACATCATGATGGACACAGTCTGTGTTCTCGTGGTTGGCGTATAAGTAACCGGAGAAGATTGTTAACTCTGTTGACAATGTAGAGAGTACAATTTCATATGACCTGCTCTCGTAGATTCTTAGCGCCTGTATATTATACCTTCGCGTTTACTGTGCAATCTGAGCAGCCTTGCTAGCGCCAAACATGATTTGCGCATTCCATGTCCTTATGATTTCCTTTATTTTCTTCGAGAGATAAGATGCATTGGCCAAATGGCTTCCCGGAGTCTTCTACCTGTCAGCGTCTCAGAACTGGGGTATCTTCACAATTCCCGCGGTTAATAAGTTAATTTTTTCTGTGCTTTGAATTTTCAGTGGCGTTGGGATTGTCTTTTACGGGGTTGGGTTTCTAGCCCCACATCTAACTTGCTCTCTTTTCCGGGGTAATGATTTGCTAGTAATCTAGACAAGGTGGAAGTGGAAAATTTGGGAATTGATTGTGTTCAGTGATCACACTATATTTGTGCTGGTGTGATACCTATAATGTGTGCCAACGTAATGTTATTCTCACATATTCTCACGGTTCAATTCGGTATTAACAACAGAATACGATATATCTACTTAAACATTCTATTTTATGTTAGAGACAGAATATCTTTTTCCACAGTTATGTACTGCATTGACAACAGAATACTATGTATCCTTGAACATTGTATTTCATATTGTTTGATATAAACCGAAATCACAGGCTCAGTAATGGGATAAGGGATACTAACTGTAGGTATATAAACAGCGATTTGATTACTGAAAAATATACTTTGGCTTCCGTGTCTTGACTTCTGTTGTTACGTATTTAATAAAGAGAAGAAGAAATATAATTTGAACAAGAATCTAAAATAAGTGAATTAAGAAGTTAATCGGTCCAACTGTTTTTTGGTCTGAGATACTGTAGTGTATATTATAATATATTTACTGATGTTCTGTAAAGTAAATTAATTTATCAAAAATGGGACATTTAATCTTCGTTACAGTCGCCTTCTGATCAGATAGTTCCGTGAAGTAGCTTTTTCAAATCATTCTCAGTCTATTCATCCAATCAAGCCACCTTAGCTCTATGATTTTCGAGCACTTTCTCATCAAGGATTGACACTAACTAAATTACCACTACAGATCATTAAACAGTAACCAAGCATGTTGTCTTAGTTTATAACTTCTAAGTAGTTTGTACCTAATATTATCTACCAGCTGAGTCAAGTAAGCAAGCAGGTGTAAACTGACTCGTTGAAATCCTTGGAATGCTAAATATCTATTGTTGAAAACTTGGGGATATGACTTGAAATCATTCACAATAGACACAGATTATGAGGGAAACTTTACTAATTTTTACAACACTGTTTGTCCATTGTACTTTTATGACATTACTGTTCTCGTCTTTTATGTGTACTTTTTGAAGTGGTGGCATAAGTTGAACTGTTTCCAGTTTCTAGATTTGTAAGGAGTAGTAGTTAAACGTTTTTCACAACGCCTTCAAATTAGAGTGCTGTCACAGTCTTAATCTGTTTTCCATTCCCATATACACTTACAAATGAGACAAGAATATAGCTTCACTAAAACATACTTATTTTTAGTTTACTACAGTCTTATTTTGTTTTTATTTATTTATTTTTCATAGTTACAACTTTCAGGAAAGCGGCTTCAATCACCTTGTCGTTTCTAATGTTCGCAAAACCATTTTCTCAAGGGTATGTGTAGTTTAAAGTTTCATTTTTGTTCACTCTATTTTAAATTAACTATTGCTTTTATTAGGTGATATTTTCCATATGTAGATTGTTCATTTATTCGACGGTTATGAATTCTTTTCCATTGAACTTTCAATCTGCGAAATTGATAATTTTTGGAATATAATTATAATCTAAAAGGAGCTTATTAAGTAATGAGGACGAAGAGTTTTTCGTTAGTGTATAGTATTACTCCATTTATATCACTTGTTGATGGTTGTCAGTTATTTACACCACGGAATTTTAATTATTCATATGGTTCTTGGAATGGGATTCAAGCCAGCGTCCTACTTACCTGATGAAAAAAGGTGTAGAACTGGAGGTGTTACTCAACAACTACTTTTGGTTCCATACCGCTGGCGATGAGCCACACTTATTGTTTGACGGTTAGTAGTGGTACTGTCTAGCTGACCAAACCTTCGTAGGTGGGGCGGGGTTCCAAACTGGTTGAAAGTCGGGCCCCTAGACCAATGAGCTACAGATTATTTTTACTTGTTAGTCTGACTGTAAATCTATGTGAGTTGGATCACACACAGTCTTTTCGAGAAGTGTTCCTGTTAACTCGCTTTCGACGTTAGAGTAGACATAATGGCGATTCGTATTAATACGTTATCAGTTCATTGTACTCTGGAGTACACACCAGTGTAGATGTTTTTCAGCGATCTGTTGGTTTATATGTCATGACAAATAAAAGCTTAACCTGCATTTTAGCGTAGTAAGCTATCGCTTTCGGAAATGATACTAATACTACTACTAATAATAATGGTATCATCAGCTTATTGATGATGTTTATCACCATGTATCTCATGCTTTTTTGTGTAACCAGTGGTTTTGTATTCACTGTCTGATCATCAGAAGTTTAAACCTTCTCACCAATCATTGGAAGACTGTTATTTCATCCACGCTTGTGTTTGTCATCAATTTCTCAACTTTCCCGTCATGTTCTATATACTTGAAACATATCTATATGTAATTCACATTAGTCTATTACAAAATATTTGCTGAGATGTTTTTTGTTCTTAAATAAAAGACACTTGAAATATAAGAAATTATATTTTTATGGAATTCAGCAAATTAGCACACATTTTCTATCACTGTTATCAACTGCCTTGACCTCCATGAACGAACTTCTCCGGAGAATGTTGCAGATAATTGTTGTAGGCGGTGACTACGCGACTCGAAAGTTGATACTTATGAAATCGTAGATTCAAAGACTGCACACATTTTGGGGACAAATAAAAACTATAATTTAAAAAATTATTGATTACTTCATCTGAAAACTGCTTCTTATAAAATTATCATAACATGGTTTCTTCACACTCGTATTTTTTCATCTGCGTTAATATTTTAACTTGTATACAGTTAAGAAGACCAGTAATGCAGTTATAAAACCCCTTTTCACTTCATAAAAAATGTAAATATTTGGTTGGATAAATTTCCATGAAAATTATACAAGCACTTATAACCGGACTGGTTGTCATGGAGCTCCTTACAGGGGGCCAAGAAGACCCTGATTCGAAACATGAACTCTAGAATCCTAAACGATCGAATGGAGTATGAACCTATTTTGGCCACCGAAAACCATGGAAATGTTGATCCTGAAGCTGTACTGGAAGTTGTCCCTTAAAACAACCACCTACTTCGGTTTGAGTAGTATCTCAACTCCCACACAAATCATTAAACAATAGTTAGTGAGGAACTATACTCGCGCGCTTATTATCACAGACTACTACTCGAATCATATTTCTAGCAACCAACATGCTGGAAGTCTTATACAGGAACACCCTAGACAGAGTGGGGGCATACAGTTCACTGTCACCTCTGTTCCCAACTAAAGGCGGGGTTAGAAAAGGTTGCCCAATCTCACCATTTCCTTTTAACCCTGGTACCCAAGACATTTTAGAGACATCTATGAAGGAAATGCATTGTGATGATGTAGATCGGTCACTTGAAGAGGGACTTTCCGACCTTGAGTATGCAAATGATATTGTCTCACTGTAGCGTATCAAACAGGGCACCAGAAATGCGCGTAAACAGTTGGCCGTCAATATTTGCAATCAAGCTGTGTTGTTTGCTCTGTCTTATTGCAAACTATTATCGCATGATTGGCAGAAATCTTCATTTGGTCTTCCCCTCATGAGTAAGCCGTTAGAAATAGTCGATTAGTTCGTGTATCTAGCTAGTTTCATGGGTGCTAATGGACGATGTGACAGATGAGATCTCTAACTGCATGATCAAAGCTAGGGCAGCATATACCCACCCTATTGCTGGCCACCTGAAGTTGGCTTTATGGTAATTCAGTACACTCAGTCTTGACCTTATTCAGTGAAACCTGGTCTTTTGCAAATGAAAAAGGCGCGGTGACTGCGCGTATTTTTTAATCTTTAACTCCGTAGATCTGGTTACGTCTAGCGGAATGATCATGTGAGTAATTCTGGTGTCTAGTGACGTGTATTTGGACATGGTAGAGATCTTCTTTCAGAGGTATTACTGTCATCTTCAAACGCTGAATTCAGTGGATTGGACGCAAATTATGAATGTTTTTACCAAAAACTCTTACCGGTTACTATTTGCTAGCTTTCGTACTGGGCAGAAGGGCGGAAGGTATTTAGGCCATGACTCGGCCCTGTTAGAAACAGGATAGTTTTGTTAAGGTGGCATCTTTTGGTGCATCACGTTTTTGTGGATGAGGTTCAAGAAGCGGTGGCTCAGGTTGTTATCGGATATGATCGAGAGTCGCAATCTATGGTGCATACACTAAAGCTTTCTCTTTGCTTCTCTTCCTGAAAGTAACACTAAGTAATGAGCCTTCCTTTGAGTGCTCTTGGTAAGTATGCACACGTACTTTCGTGATCAAGTCCCTCATTCTTCTCTATCCCCATTCTCTTCATATTTTTGTCTAACTATTTTCTGTGGCTCATCTCTTGGTGCCCACACTGCACCAAGTTTGTGTTTCATTTATAATAATAAAAGTTTTAAAAGTTGTTTGTAATGCCAATTTGAGTAATTTTTGTTTCCTGAAAAGAGTTGTACTAGTTTCTCCTTAGATTATACACTTTATTCTTCAAATCAATGCATAATTCTCCAAGCATGCACAGGAAAAGGGAGTAAAACCAGAACAAAACAAAAGTATTCAGTTTTTTTCTAACTTCTATGTTCCCCCTTGTGGCTGTTGCTCTTGCCATGGGCGGTTAGCCAGTAATACCAATAGTCTACACACACACACAGTGAATGTATGTTTCATTGCCAAGTGCGTCAACACACGTACAACTATCCAAATAAAATTTCTCATTCTAGTTCTTGATTGTTAAAAGTTTTGTTGATGATATAATGAATCTTTTGAATCAGAAGACTTAAGTATTTTCTGTACACAAATTTGTCCACTGAAATGATGCTTTTTCTTTTCAATCCGTATTGATCAAATTCAACCGACCAAACTGTTGTACACCTCATTACTTACTGATGCACTAACTCTCTTCAATGAAATATAAGACAGGTATCTGTGTGTGCATGTTCAAGCAAATGAACCATACAATAGTGAATCAATATGAGGGTTAAACTTCAGTAAACACATCTTGTTTATGTTCATTGGTAAGTAATCAAATACATTAGGAACAGCAAGAAAACAAAGCGAACAAACTTATTTAATTGATTACAGGGTCTCATCAATAGCTAACATTAGCTAGAGAACCATTGGAGTACTGGGCAGCTGTTTCGTCCCAGTTTGAGACTCTTCGACAGTGCGCAACCACCGGGGTTCGAACCCAGGACCTTCTGGTTACAAGGCGAGCTCGTATACCATTAAATAACTGGGACCCGATCCAGTTGCGACCCCTAGCCAATGTCTTCGGCGAGTATTTGTCCTCACACCCGATCTGCTGCACCCTACTGGTCATTTCTTTATTTTTATTTACATAAAATTGACGATAATAGCAATTACCATATATGGTTGCATTGTTTGGCCATGGAGTCAATTGTTGCCTCAATAGCTAAGTACTAGCTTCATATGCTTTCATCTCGAAGGAAGCATCGGTTTCGTGATGATCGTAGATACGGCTTTCTGATGTGTCCCGAAAAGCCTAAAACCAGGTGTTCAGATGAACTGAAAACACCTAACACTCCTAGAAAAGTGGACGACAATTTACAGCAACATAAGCGCATTTACTCAAACAGTTGGCTGCATTCAGTAAACACAAATGGCTGAATTCTTATAGTTCAGTTGCTAACAAGGTTCAATTCTTCACGTGTGTATAATAATCTCTTCGTTTATATTACCAACTTATATCTTACTTGTTGGGTTTCGAATGTTCACTGTTGTAGCATTCCAAACTAGAGTGTAATAGTTGTCTGGTGTTCTTCGATTTCCAGACCTCCATCCAATTTATTTCGATTCTTAACAACGACTCATTGTAAGTTATACACAATTCGAAAGCGAATCCGACTGGAGTTTCATTAATGACATAGCAATGTTACTGCGTAATGTTGTATATTCGTTTTGAATTTGGTATATGCTCTGTAGGTTTTTTTAAGATAAGCTTTATTCCAAATCGGTACTTGTGATACAGAATGGAATTCTCAGCATTTTACTACAGTATTGCCTCCAGTTAGTACATTAACAATAAATATAGTTCTACATAGATTAAGGTTATCTCAGTCAGTTTTGACAACAACATATTAGCATGTCGCTAGCAAAGCCAAAAGTGAACAGAGTGTTTGAAGGTGTTAGAAAAGTAGATACTACTAGCATATTTACTGGCGTAAGCGATAGCAAAATGGTCGAGGTATACAGAGTGTGAAAGAACGAACAAGAATGTTTTAAGTAGAGTTTGCAAGGAAAAGAGAAACAAAACAACACAACAAAAAAAGGTAGAGAGAAAACGTTGTACCTGTAAATGATGTGACTTGGAAAGACGAGATCCATTTGTTCTACTGACTTCTTTTAATAAGTTAAAGGTTTCACGCCTAATGCTTTCTTTATCGCACAGAACACGAGCTAGGTAGGGTATGGATGAGTTTTTGTACTTGCTAGTGCGAGCATATAGTTTCCTATATAGGCTTTTGGTTTTCCCTGAAGAGATACATGGGGAGAGTTGTGAATGTAGAGGGTGTTGTGAGTCAGATTATATGGTTTTTGCCCATTTTTCACATGAGTCCATGTGTCTGTCGATCAGAATATTAACGAGCTGGCTAAGTGGCAAACTGCTTACCCTGCTGACAACCTTTAACATCCTACATAATAAGGTATAGTCTTTCTTCAATAGCCCAGGAAAGACTAAGGGGGAACAATAGAGAATAATAGGCAGAATACGGAAATTAAAAAAATTGTAGGAGTAAGGGTTGGGTTACACCAGAAAGTCTTAACTTCTTGATGTAGAAGGTAAGACGGAATATTTTCTTGGAAATCGTCAAGATATAAGACGACCAGGAAAGATCAGAAGATAGAGTGACGCCTAGGTATTTAACTTCCAACTTGGTTTCAATTTCAGTGCCATCTATGTTGCATATCTCGTGAGTGCTAACCACCAGTTTGTTTAGGTCAGATTTATGCCTAAAGGTGAAATTAACTGTTTGGCATTTGGAGGGGTTTAGGGTGAGACCGTTTTCCTTGGACCATTGACTGATTTCTGATAAGAAGCCATTTAGTTTAGAGCAGTTTAGTTTAGTTTGAAGTTTAATGAAAGAAAAGGCCAATAACAATAAATCAACACCAATAAACATTTTCTTCATTAATCTTATCTCTTAGCAAAATCAGTCAATATTTTATGTCTAATGTTCGGAAAAGCTTTTAATCTTATAAATTTAAAATTAAAGCAAAGACAAATCGAAATAATATAATAGCCGACGGATAGGTATTGTGTATGGTAATAAAATATCTGATCGAAGCGCATATTTATTTTGTCATTCTAATGTAAATAAAATGGTAATACCAAGATGATTGGTAGACGAATAATGCACTGGCATAGGGCAAATTCGGCCACTAGCCAACATCAGTTGGAAATCCATCAAAGATAGACTCTTCTAAATACCTACTGTTGACGAGTTTTCAAACTAGAGGGGAACAGCTATCAATCGGTTTCTGGTTCACATCAGTTCTCTAACTGCTCTCGGTTTGTGTCAAAATTTGTCTTTAAAAACGCAATGAACTCTCCACACAGCAAACACTTAAAAGTAAATATATTCGTAGCGAGTAATCGGATCTATGCGTTTACCCTATAGACAGATGTCGTGGTTGATAAACAAGGGTTTCTAGTATTGAAAATTCGGTTGTTTGTTTTTATTATAGTAATGACAAAGTAAAAATATTTACAAGATCGATAATACTCAGAAAGCCCTGAGAAAAATGGAAGGCAGTTCAGCGAAGAAAATTCCCCTTATCAACTAAGTTATCTTCGAAAACTCTACAGTCGTATTTATCTTTACTAAGAGCGTATAGTAGTTTGCTAAAGTTTAATAATCCGTGTATCCCTCCTTATACTTCCCTGGGCTTATGAAGAAAGACTGCTATAATACGTAGAACATTGAAAGCTATAAGTAGGGTCAGTGGTTTGCCTTTGACTTTGTGTAGTCAGTCGTCTCTGTGATCTGAAAAAGCGTGGCAAACTCGGAAGAAACAGCTATCCAGTGGTCCACTGTTTTCAATGTCTCCCTAACTGATGTCAGTTCTTGACTAAATACACTTTTAAAACAAGCAATAAAGGTTGGTAAAGCAGGATTTAATCAAATAGACAAACATGAACTGAAAAGCATTCTCACCTGTCTTTCTGCATGACTAATTCAATGTAGTTTGTTTGCTTATCAGTCTTATATCTCTCAATGTAATTTCAAAAGTATATATATCCGCGTATTTAGAGTATTCAGCTGACGAGTTCTACCGGAATTTGATGAATTCATTAAATCCTGCTTTATTAACCTTTATTGCTTGTTTTAAATTCGTATCGGGAAATAAATGTTTTCAAGTACACTTTTATATGACAGTATACTTGAAAATTGTTTCAATGAAATAATTAAATATAATATTTTAGTGTTTACTTTCCCTTTTCTTTATGCATTTATTCATTAGATATATTTGGTCGGGTCTGTTAGTTGTCGCCGGATTATACTTGAATTTGTATAATAAAAATCGTAAATCTTGGAATAATGCAATTGTCAATGGATTGAAAGTTTGTGGTCTCCTGAAATCTGATAACAAGTTAATTGTACCTGTATAATGGTATTAGTAAGTCAGAATAGAATTGATCACTAGGACTGGTTTGACACATATTCACCTACACATATCAACAGTAAAGTGCAACAAATTGATGCCTATTTCTTTATTGAAATTTACCTCTTCAGTATTGTAAATCTGTGCTTATTTGTAGTCGAAATATTGCGTTGTTCAACACCATCACCTTTCACTGTACAAAAATATTCTAAACACTCTTTACATGTGTACACATTTCCTTTTGTACAATACACGCATATCTTATTATATACAAATATTTTCATTTGTTTTAAACTTTAGTATTCTAACCAACTGTGATTACTGACAATTTGTCATATTAAACTGTTTAAGTTTTCTTTGAGTACATATATATACATATAGTATGTTATTTAACAGGGTAAGAATGTGGTTTGTGATGAGAAAAGGAGAGTATGTTATCCAACATTTATTGATCTCTACTAGTTTTATCTATTGATTAGAATTGACCTATACTGATGCGAGAATAAATAAAATGGTTATACCGTAATGAAGAAAAGAAATAGTGGTTGTTATTATTTACAGACACTAGAATATGTGTGATTTATAGTTGTAAATAGTACAACAGAGTGTATAATGATTATTAGTATTATTATTATTACTACTACTATTATGATTATTACCACTCTTTGTTTGCATGACTAATAAAAAATGTCCGTTGCAGTTTGGTTATTCTACAATGATCACTATTTCAATACACACACACACACACACACACAATTACATTTTCCGAGTTGATAATTTGAGTATAATACAGTTTTTAAAAGCTTATTTATGTGCTCATATATTTGTAATTAGTTGAATTATTTAAAGAAATAAAATCTCTGCTTTGTTGCTGATACGGTTTTACCTTTTAGCGACAATATGATTATTACAATTTAATCGCAGTGTTTCAAGTTCAATTTCAAAAAGGGAAGATAAGATTAACTTAGGGTGAAAGGATTTGAGATTTGTATAAGTGTGACTGAATATAAAAAATAATGCAGCCTTATTATGTAATGCAGAATTATGCATTAAACTTTATGGTATATATATATATATATATATATATTTATACTGGAGGATTCATTGAATATGGAAGGTCACAGAGAACGAATGCATTTGCATCACAGAATAGTATTAAGCCATTTCACCAACAGTTTCTAGCCATTTGCTCTTAGCATCCTGAGAACCCCAGTCAGATTGTTTGCACCTCCTTAAGTGCATCAAACCAGTTGTCAAGGATTTCAGGTTTTGGTTTTACCACCCTCAACTCTTTTCCAAATTAATCGTATATCAGGCATAATCTCTCGCCCAGGAAAGCGGTGGCTCTTGTAACACGTGCTTTCCCATCCCAATCAATGAGGTTATGAAGCCTCACCGATTGACCTTGCTCACTTAGTATTCTACACCTGACCTCTCTATTACTTACCACTTAACACTTTATACAGAACCTAAATATTTTTAGTAGAAGAAAGCTAACCTTTTCATGTCTTCTATGTTTAGTGGCTATGTTTTACAGCCATAAAGAATAACAGAAGGAACTGTTGCGCAGTACATGAATCCTTTGATCGGTAGCCGGACACCCCAGTTGACCACCAGTGCCTTTAAACACCTTTGAAGTTATTCCATTTGGTCCTACTGTTTCGTCTCGTTTCAGATAAGAGACAGATTTTGCAACCTCGGTTATAGACGGAGAACCAATGTCAACATCCCACAGAGATAGATGTTGGATATAGGACAGTGTGGCCATAGACTAGTTAGATTTCTCCTCAAAGTGTTGCCCTCAACTTCCTATCCTGACAGCAACCCAAGGGGCCTCTTTCTTTGGAGATTGTCTTGTTTATCATTCACCTTTGCAACCTGTTTCCCTGATAAACTTAAATAATTGTTTAGTGTTACCTATTACTGATGCTTTTTCCACCCTTTCGCCACTGTCATCCAGTACTGTTCGCGGTAGCTGCAGTGACTTCCGCTCAGCTTGCCTTTGAGCGAAATTCATTCCTGATCATGTCCGGAACCAACTAGAGTCAGTCTCCTTGCCTCAGTCAGTTGGGGTGAAGCAGCAAAAATGCACTGGCACTCAATGACCTGTGATTTTAGGTGTGTTTACCACTGTTTCCAAATTGACTCGATGTTACACCAAGATTTTTCATGATGAGTCTTCCCGTCAAGCTCAGATACTTTTTTGCCTATTTCTTTCTTTGAAAAGAAACTTAGCGTTCTCATCTACTTGGGTGATTGGTGACTTTCTTGCGTATACGTGCACAGACTGGGGCATGAGTGGAGTCTATGCAAGTATTCCAGAAGGAGTGGCAGTCTTCCATCGGTCCTCTTCCTCGATACTTTATTCCTATATGGTCTATTTGAGTTCATCGCTGATTTGATAATGGAGGCCACTAGGTTAGGTTATTTCAGTTTTTATGTTAGCGCTGATAAGGAAAGGAAGATTACCCAAAGACGACTACCGTTGTCGGTTCGTCCGAATGGACCTCCATAGGCACTACTAATATACTTCTCTGACTAGTGCAATATCTCCATCAGAATGACTTTATCTTAGCACTTAGCTTTTATCAGTAAGCCCAAAAGCTTTTGATGAAACTTATCTTTTACTTTGTCCAAAATGCAATCAGTTGGGTCGCAAGCCGAGATTATAAAAAGACATCAACGGGTATCACGATTTTTTCTTCTGATGGGCAGCACACAAAGGACTATTTACTGAGATCCAGTCAAAAAGCAATTTTCCCGCCCTAGAATTCAACGCCATCCCTACATGTGTAATTCCACGCGCACTAGCTGGAAGGTCTCCTGATATCCACAGGATGAATCCGCCCTATTGACCAGAAGGAATTAATTAAATGACCACAGTTGGGTTTTTTATGTGTATGCTTATGGAAGTCTGTAGGTGGTTATTACCTCCAGGCTGCCCACATCGTGGAAGTTGATTTATTCAGACCTTCAATGTGCTATAGATGACTTACACTATGATGTTGACTGGTTTTATATAGCCGCCATGCACACGACCTATATCGCACGATAAGATCTGCTGAAACATCACTTCCCGCCTGTTTAAGTCGGTGAGTTATTGCTGTATGCAAGCCTGATCACCACGTCAAGGTAGCAGCTATCAGTCGGATTGGATAGATTCAATACAGTACTGTTGTATCTATACTTTAGTACATGGATTTTGTCAGAGTTCGTAACAGGTTGGTCTGAAAACAATTAAATATTTATGCTGTAAATCTATCAGTTAATATGCTTACTAGGTTTTGATGTCAATACTGTCGCATACAGTGTACCTGAACACTCTCTAAAAAAGACATTTCATACAAATTAGTTGCCAAATATATATGTCCAAACCAAGTTCACTCTAAACAGTTTGAAAAAATTTGGGCATTGGGTATATGATATTCATTATAATAAAGGTTTTTGTATTTCCCAATGAATGAAAAACAAAACGATATTGTTTTTCAAGTGATGGTTTTGCTATTTAATGCCAATAACTTTATCTAAGTATTGTTAAACCAGAATTTACAAAATTCCAGCATATATATACTAAAGAGTTAAGAGGTGAGAAAATGGACTTAGGTCAAGTTAAAAGGACATATTGAAAGTGAAAATTATAAAAGCAGCGTGTGTTTACATAGTGAACTTGCTTATCACATTCATGTTGATTTTGTCACTTCATGGGGGAGGGAGGTGTTGTAACCATGTTAAATTCTGCTTTAGTCCGTCATTCCTATTCAGACAATTCGGATTCCACTTGATATGAAGTGCTTCTGATATTAAGCGTTCTTCGTGATTTCTGGATTATTTCAATATTGTCAAAATCAATTTTGTGGCCTGATGATTTTTCAAGCTTTTCTAGTTCAACCGGATTTCTCGGTGGTCAAACAGATGCTCTACGATGTTAATTTCTTCTGATTTTGATTTCTCGAGATGTTTGTTCGATGTATATTGCATCACATTCCAAGCATTTTATTTTATTGACTCAATTAGATAGAGAATCCTAAGGGATCTGGTCTTTTATATGTACAAGGTTACTATGTAATGTGTCTGATATTTTGAAGAAAACTCTAATGTCGAGCTGATTGAGTACTCTTATGATATCGTCTGACGTCTCTGCTCTATATGGAATGACGACTGTTGAGATCCATGTTTTCGGAATGCGTTTTCGGCCATACTTTTAATGTCTGTGTTGATTTTGTTGATGAAGTTCCTTGGGTAGTTGTTTTGTTTGAGAGTTTTAGTAATGTTTGATATTTCTTTTTCTTTCTCATCCGTTGTCAGAGTGTACTCGTATAAGAAGACTTGAAACAACTGAAATCTTTGCGCTGATGGGTTGTGATGATTTGAAGTCTAAATATTTATTGGAGTGGGTTTTCTTCCTGAATATGGATATACTAAAATGTCCGTTTTCCTTTCTCTTAACTAAGCAGTCTAGAATAGGTAGCTCACTGACGTCTGATTCTGCTTCCGAAGTAAGCTGGATTCTGTGAGATACATAGTTTATTTTCTCCAGGGATGCACTGTGTAGATCTCGTTTCAACACTTCAAAAGTATCTACATATCGTAACCATATTTTAGGAGTGAGTATGCTTGAAAATATGTTATCTTCGAATCTATTGCCAAATAGTTAACTAGAAAACATTTTTTTTCGTTGTGGTTCATTACATCCAAAATGTTAAATAACCGGAAAGTGAAGTATACTTTTTCCCTTATTCCGTTTACAGTCCTCTTTTTATGACCTTAATGATTTTTTCAATCTCAACGTGTTATGAGTGTTGCTCTAAATTATTTAATAGTAGGATTTTATTGTTATGCTCCCCCCACCCACCCGGAGCTCAGTTTAGGGAATTCTACATGAATAAATGTCTGTCTTGGTGAACGTGTGATCGGTTGTCTCGAAAGATTTTCATATCCTAGTGTGAACCTATGTGAGTATTGATAAATTTAGATGGCCTGATATTTGACTATTTAATTTATGGCCAGATGAATCTAATTTACAGCGATATGTCTGTTCAGTATAGTTCAATGTGTATGAAAAGGCATTAATATCATATAGCTGAGTGAACAACTGCTCACACCGATACGATTAGTAAATTGTGCAAATGTTAAAAGTGGGCAAACACTAGGAATATCGGTGAAGATCCAGAGGCCTGGTACTTAGAATTTTATCAGAAAAAAGGAAAAGCGAATGGAATCATTTATTATTAAGAATACACAGATTATAAAAAGATTACAATTAGGATTTCTAGAATTATCAAAAAGACTTTGGACAAGAGTAAACTGGTAAAATAACTTATATATAACAGAATCTTAGTCCACTGAATCAGCACCAAGTACATCCAGCTGGAACGACGTATCACATGTCTCGGATGTGTAGAAAACAACATTAAAAAGCATAAGGGAGTATGACTATATCGAGAAAGTTATCAAGTAGCGCGACTATGACTATGAGCAACAAATTTAGCTCAAAATGCCATTCATCCACTTATTACACTATGCCGCCAAAACAATTTTGGCGACTTGTGTGAATCATTTGGCTACCTGAATTTCCATCACAAACTGACATTGGTTAGAGAACCACTAGAAAACGTGGGAGTACTGGGCTATTGGATTGGGTCCCAGTGGCTTAATGGTATATGAGCTCGCCTTGTAACCTGAAGGTTCTGGGTTCGAACCCGTGGTGTGGGTTCATACTGATGAAAAGTCCTAAACTAGGACGAACCAGCTGTCCAGTACTCCCAGGAATTGCTTTCTTTGTTAAAACCATATATATAATAATGTCCTTGAGTCGTAATCATTTTTTTTATTTATTTTTAATCAGCATTCAAACTACTACCGCGCATTTCCCA